CGGGGCAGCGGACTGAGCCCCGATTCACGGGGAAGCGCCCCCTGGAAGAAGGGAGCAGCAATGCCAACTTCAACAGCTGATAGAACACTTATCCCCACTCTACAGACGCTGCAACTGAGGCAGAGAGAGAGTAAGCAACTTGCCCGAGGTCACACAGCCAGCAAGTGGCGGAGTCCAGATTCGCACCCACTCCAACCATCCGGGGTCTGTGCTGCTAACCCCTCAGGGAGTGTGGGGGCGGGCTGAGTGGGGGGACGTTCAGCCTGGTCACCTGAACAGCCTTGGCCGTGGGAAGCAGAGTTTGTTCGGAGAACTTAGTATGATCCAGGGATGCTAGGTCACAGGGAAAATGGTAGCAGTTGGGAGAAGGTAACATGTATTTGATAATTTGTGGGTTTATGTATCATTTAAGTCATAGTGTAAAAATAACAGTATTTTTCATTCTTAATGCCCAAGGCAAAAATGATTGAAATCATGATTAAAAGGAATAAAAACATCTAAATAACCCATGAAAGGAGGAAAAAAGGAAAATATCAAACATCAAAAATAGAACTAGAGGAGAGTGGGAAGACATACATCTCTTCTTTAGTATTTTATAAACTTTTAAAATTTTATACTCAGAAAATATGTGTATATGAAAGATATCTTTACCACAAAAACATATATAATGTGTGTGCATATTACACATACACAGTATACTGTAGATTTTTTCAGTTAAGAAAAGTCCAGATTGACAATTCTAGTAAAAATAATTCATACTGGGACATGAAACATTCCAGAAAGTAGTTGAAAAACATTATTATATATTTACTCCAAATTATTATTGTGCAAAAATTTATAAACTTCGGTTGAGCTGACTATCTTCAAACTGGGGTTCAGACTATGTTTTAGGCAGTCACACTTCAAATGTTTTAAGCAAAATTCCTCCATCTTCATAAGAGACACTTTTATTTAAAACCTGAACATGTGTGTATGAAAGAGCAGTCAGGGCTGTTTTAGATGTTTCAGGGGAAAGAGAGATTGCGGAGCCCATCTCCTGGGCCTTCTCTGAGGTCACAAAGAGGGTGCTCCAGAATAACTGATACCACTCTCCTGCTTGGGTGGTTCTCAGGTTCTCGCTATTCTACAGAGGACGCTGATGCTTGACACACAGTTCCCCTGGACCACATCTGTCCCCTACTGATGCACCTGCCAAGGGCAGCGGCCGCCCTCACAGGACCAGGGGCTTGGGGCAGGTCCGCTGCAAGGCTCGCAGGGAGGCCGAGCGGGAGGGGACGGCAGAGCCTGCAGGAAGACGCACGCCCAGCCTTGCGCAGGGAGTCCGCGTCTTCCCACTCCCGCCTGAGTTTCGTCTTGTCACCCGAGGGGCCTTAGGGGTGGGGTGGCTCGAACCCCGTTGCCTCAGCCCAAGACAGGAACTGACTCGGGGCGGGAGGAGGTGGCTCCCCGCCCCCGCCGCCCTGCCCAGGCCCGGAGGAGCCCTTCTCAAACACAGGGGGACGGTGGGGGGGGAGAGCCACCTTCTCCCCAGGCCTCGTCAAAGCCCGTCCTGGTGGGGGGAGGCTCAGGGCCCCACTTCCTCCTGCAGTCTTGCGGGGGCCGGGTCCACACGGCCGACCGCGGCTGGCACGGAGTCCCCGGATGAGTCACTTGTGGTCGGGCAGGCGTCCTTTCTGCCCGTGTGCGTCTCTGACTGCCCGGCTCAGACACAGGCGGGGCTGGCACAGGCAGGCCGGAGGCACGCTGGGTGCGGAGGAGACGGCCTTTGCTGCCAGGGACGCCCGAGGCCTGGGCCTGCTGGAGCCAGCGCTGTCATTCACTCACTGTCCCCAGACAGCCTCTCTCATCTTCACGGTGTAACAAAGCCAGTTTCCAGGTTTTGGTGCCGGGGGCTGAGCGCTCAGATGACCTGCTTAACTGCCTGACTAGGAGGCAGGAGAGCGGACCCCGCCCCTCGCGGGAGATGCCCACCTGTTACCCAGTACCTCCCCTCCAGGTCTCATCTGCCTGGCTCCCAACCCCCACCTTGGATGAAACAGCACAGGCCAAGGGGCAGTCACCTCCAGAAGCCCTCTGTGAACCGTGCGGCCGCGGAAGTTACGTGGAGCAGGCCTGTCCTCTGCACAGGTTCTGGAAAGGCCCTTCTGGTCGTGAAGAGCCCAGGGCATGGAAGCTGGGGGCAGCGCTGGTGAGAAGGTGGAGGCCATGCCCTCAGCACGTGGGTGCAGCACCAGCCGGGGGGCGGAACGGTGGGTGCCCTGGAGCTGTCCCTCCCCCTCGAGGGGGCACCAGGCTCCTGCCTGGGCAGGGAGGGACCCCGAGGACTTGGCTTCCTGGAGCAGGGGAGACAGAGCCATGACTTTGCCCACCATTAACAAGGCAAATGGGCCTAATATTTCTAACGACAGCATCACCTTGGGTTTTACAGGGGCATTTTGCTCCATAAACTCGACCCGCTTTCATATAGAGCCTCTCATTTCCTACTCACAAAGCTGGCTGCGGGGCACCTGTAATTAACACTTTAAAGCTGGGGAAACTGGCCCCCGAGAGGAAAAGAGACGTCCTGGGAAATAGCAACCCCTGGTCTCTGCTGCCCTGGCCCCAGTTCAGGACTGTCCCGAGGGCTGATGAAGCCTGGGTCTTAACCTCACCCTGGCCAAGCCTTTAAAACTCCCTGTGCTTTTTCTTTTAGAAGGAAATTCTGTGCCTTCACTCACAAGCTTTGTGGCTGGTCAACTATGAGCCTCCTTTTTGAAGCTGTTAACTTGGGATGGTAATAATGTTTACTCCGGAACTGTAGAAGTACATTGTGAGCCACATAGGTAATTTAAAATTTTCCAGTAGTCACTATGAGTGTAGCAGTCATTTAAAAAAACAGAAACAAGTGAAATTAATTTCAAAAATATGTCCAAGATATTATATTGATTAGTAATCAATATACAAAATTAGTAATGGAATCTCCATTACTAATGGAATCTCCATTCTTTTAACTTCCTGAGTCCGTGGAACTGGATGAGCATTTACATCAAAGCACATCTCAACACAGACTCCCAGGGCTCAGAGGCCACACATGGCTGCTGGCCTGCAGCTGGACGTCCACCTCCATAAGGTGGGCACGGGGACAAGGTGACATAATGCGTGGAAGGCACACGCGCCACACACACAGACACTGGCCGCCGAGCTCCATAAGGAGGCAATGGGGAACACACACACAGACACACACAGACACAAACACACACACACACACACATACACAGACACAAACACACACACACACAGACACAGAGACACACACACAGACACACACAGATACACACAGAGACACACACAGAGACACACACAAGACACACACACACAGACACACACACAGACACGGACACAAACACACACACAGACACACACAGAGACACACACACAGACACACACACACAGACACACAGACACANAGGCTTTGACCTTCCTTCCTTGGCAGGTTCTCAAGAAGCCTCAGAGCAAGAGACTAAGGGATTTGGGGACTTGCCTGGTGGTCCAGAAGCTAAGACTCCATGCTCCCAGGGTCCCAGGTTCAGTCCCTGGTCAGGGAACCAAATCCCACAGGCCATGACCAAGAGCTTCCAGGCCGCAGTTAGACCTGGCGCAGCACCAAATAAAACGGTTTTACGAGCGAGACTGAAGGCTCTGGGCGCTCTCACAGACACCCGTATCTGGAGCCGCTCAGCCGAGTGCCGGAAGCCCACACCCCCCATGCTCTGCTTCAGGACGCGAGCAGCACAGAGGACAGTCTCACCAGACGTTCACGTCGTCACCAGAGAACGCCAGGGACTCAGCCCTCCGTGCTTGGCCGGCACTGGATGTGGTCCTGGCTGACCACGGGGGCCCTGGAGCAGAGGTCAGGAGTGACGACCGTGCATGCGTTCTCACCGATGTCTGTGCTGCCACCCGAAATACTGCACAGAGAGATCAGCACATCGCCACTGCCCTTCTGTCTCTGCCACTGAAATACCCCCAGGCCCAATATCCCAGAGTCTTCTCAATAGCTCCCTTCCTGTGTTTTCCTCCCTAGTTAACCTAGAGTATTTGTTAAAATAACACTCCTGAGCACCCCTCTCATGAAAGCCGCAGTCTCTAAACCCCTCTAACAACATCAGCTCAGGAACGGGCTCCGCAGATGGCAGACAACAGGGCCGACGAGAAACCGGAAGTGCACCCAGCCCTGAAAACCAGCCAGACCCATGCCAACCTCACACTGACCGTAGCTCGCCCCTCGGAGCGTCTGACCACAGATTTGATCCGTACGAAACAGCAGGAGCAACAGCCAGGTCTTCACAGCTGCCCACGTCTTACCAGGTATCAGCCAGTCTCCCGCCTGCACTGGCCGCAGGCTGAAACAAGCGCACAGGTGAAGACTGTACCCTTGACGGTTCAGGCTGCTGATCTGCTGACAACAGAGAACACTTTACTGCTGCAGCCAGCTGATTTGACACCAGCTTGGTCTCCCTGCCTCTCTCCCTGGCCACAAAGCTCCTGTAGGCCCTGTTCACACCTCCCATCAGAAAACAGCCTATTCTCTGTGATTTTGGATGCTTGCAGATTTCTGAGATCATTCCCCCTACAGTAATAGTCTTTTTTTATTAATCTTGCTCCATATCTAAGAATGAATGTGCTTTATCTGACAATAGGGTCCCAGCTCTGGCCACTGCCCCAGAGATGACTGTCCATCTGCTGGGATGCTGACGCTCAGCCCTGCCTGGGGGCCCAGCCTCCGAAGCATCCGCAGCTGTGCCCCCCTCCTCCTCCAGGGCCCCTCCCCGCATCCCAGTCTGTCTCCCTGACAAAGCTGATGCTCTGCGCATCCCCGAGCCCCTCCGCAGAAGCTGCTGGAGGAGCAGGGCGGCAGCTGAGGGCCTGTCTGCGGCTCCCTGCCTGTCTGACCACAGTGCTGCTGTTCCAAGGACAGGAGAGGAAGGGAAGGGCCATCGTACTGACACCTAGGATGCCAGACCATCACGCGCTTCTTTCTCTATCTCCAGTTTTGGGAAGTCATCAGCGACGAGCACGGCATCGACCCCACTGGCAGTTACCATGGCGACAGTGACTTGCAGCTGGAGAGAATCAACGTGTACTACAACGAGGCTGCTGGTGAGGACCCCGCGAGCTCAGCCCCCCTCCTTGTGTTCCGCTCTCTGGCAGCCCCAGTGCAGCAGGAACACACACACACACGACAAAGGCAGGCTTCCCGCATGCATTTAAATGTCAGCTGCTCAGAAATACCCTCAGAGCCCCTGAAGTCCCCTGCATGCGGGTCATGACCAGGCGGGCCCTCACCTCCTTTTGTAGAGCAGAAACCTCCTCTCATCTCCTCTTTGCCTCTTGCTCGAATTTTCTGGGATGAGCTCTGCCCAGAGAGGCGCAGAGAGCAGGGCGTTGTCTGATTGCTCTGCCTGCACGTCTGAGTCCTGCTCTGTCCCCGCAGGTAACAAGTATGTGCCTCGGGCCATCCTCGTGGACCTGGAGCCGGGCACCATGGACTCCGTCAGGTCTGGACCCTTTGGCCAGATCTTCAGGCCTGACAACTTCGTGTTTGGTATGTAGGGGTGCTGCTGGGCCCTGGCTCACTCGGCCCCCTTCCTCCTGACCCCGTGGGCATCTCTGCTGAGTGTCTGGGGGAGGCTGTGTGTCCACAGAGGCCCCGAGTCCTGGCCTCACTGTCCCTGGTCCATGGGCTGTCAGCCCTCTGGCCCCTGTCCACGCAGCTCAAAGGCCAGGGTCAGCCTGCAGAGACTGCCACAGCCCTCCCCCTACAGAGCAGAACAAAGAGCGAAGGGAAGCTTCCAGCAGCAGCTCACAGGCCACCGGTCATTTCAGAGGACCCGTGACACGGGCAAGCCCTTCAAGGAGCCGAGGCCAAAGGCGCAGGTTGTGAGCAGAAGCTGAGCCGGCCCTCTGACCACGGGTGCCTCCACCCTGCCAGCTCACAGCAATTGATTTATCAATGAGAATTTACAGAAGGTTCTTAGTTTTAAACCAATTGGGTTTTGTTAAACTATTTTCTTAATTAAAAACATCATATGAACTAAATGTTTTGTTGTATTAGATCTTCAGTGTTTCTGAGGATCACTGATACATAGAAAACTTTTCTGTAGGTAGAAAGTCTTTCTGAAAAAGAAGGATCTTTCATCTTTAAAACAAATCCAGAGTCAGGAAGACAGAATCTGAAATTCCTTACTGAAGTGTTAGCGTCTGACGCTGTCCTCTCCCTCTGGCAGGCCAGAGCGGCGCCGGGAACAACTGGGCCAAGGGCCACTACACAGAAGGCGCCGAGCTGGTGGACTCCGTCCTGGACGTGGTCAGGAAGGAGTCCGAGAGCTGTGACTGTCTGCAGGGCTTCCAGCTGACCCACTCGCTGGGGGGCGGCACCGGGTCTGGGATGGGGACCCTCCTCATTAGTAAGATCCGCGAGGAGTACCCCGACCGCATCATGAACACCTTCAGTGTCATGCCCTCGCCCAAGGTGTCGGACACGGTGGTCGAGCCCTACAACGCCACCCTGTCCGTGCACCAGCTGGTAGAGAACACGGATGAGACCTACTCGATCGACAACGAGGCGCTGTATGACATCTGCTTCCGCACCCTGAAACTGACCACCCCCACCTACGGGGACCTCAACCACCTGGTGTCGGCCACCATGAGCGGGGTCACCACCTGCCTGCGCTTCCCGGGCCAGCTCAACGCCGACCTGCGCAAGCTGGCCGTGAACATGGTCCCTGCAGTTCACGGCCATGTTCCGGCGCAAGGCCTTCCTGCACTGGTACACGGGCGAGGGCATGGACGAGATGGAGTTCACCGAGGCCGAGAGCAACATGAACGACCTGGTGTCCGAGTACCAGCAATACCAGGACGCCACGGCCGACGAGCAGGGCGAGTTCGAGGAGGAGGAGGGCGAGGACGAGGCCTGAGCCGGGCGGAGGCGCCGCGGGGGCCGAGGGGCGGGGGGCTCACAGGAGGAGGAGGCCGAGGACGAGGCCTGAGAACGTGTCAGATGGACCGTGTGTCCTTAGCGACTTCTGTTGTCCTCGATCAGGCATGGTCTCTCTATTCGTAGGCTATGGTGCTCAGTTTTGCCTCTGTCAGAAATTCACTGTTGATGTAATAATGTGGAACTCCTCTGGAAGTTGCAGTATTGTCTAAGATATCTATACTAATAAAAAAGCATGTGTCCAAAACCTGTGGTCTCTCTTTATTGCAAATAATTTTTATTCTTTCACTAAATGCTTCCTTTCTAAGTATGTTTCTGGGTTTAGTAACTTTTAATAGGATTTTTATTTTCATATTTTTAATTAATAGCCTTTCTGCTCTTTTAGTAAAGACAGGCAAGTGTTTAAAGTGTTAAGTCACTCAGTCATGTCTAACTCTGCGACCCCATGGACTGTAGCCCCCCAGGCTCCTCTGTTCTTGGGATTTGTCAGGCAAGAAGACTGGAGTATGTTGCCATTCACTTCTCCAGGGGATCTTCCCAAACCAGAGATTTAACTTGGGTCTCTCCTGCATTGCAGGTGAATTCTTTACCATCTGAGACACCAGGGAAAGAGAGGCAAGCAAGCAAATTTATCTCCACTGGCCCAAAGTATTCAGGGACAAGCACCCAGGAGTGTGAAGGTAGAGAGGGAGGAGGGCACCACGCTGACCTTCCCCAGCTGGCTCTGATCCCAGCAACCCCGTGAACACGTGGAATCCAGGGCCCTGGGCGGGGGCCATTTTCAGCTTCCCCATCTCTGGACGACGTGGTGACTCCAGAGGCCAGGGCACGCCTGCACCCCTGACAAAGGGCACCGCGTACATTCAGCTCATCTTAGAGCAGCAGTCGTGAACACTACACATGCTTAACCTCACCTGAAAGTAAAGTAAATCATGACAGGCATTTATTTAAGGCAATGGAAGAAAATCACAGTATGAAAAGGTCAGATTCAAGCTCTGTAGCTATGAATGAGGATGCTGTGTCCTCAGTGGTACCGGATTAGGAGCCGTCGGGGGAAGCACAGGGAGCCTGGTAGGCCGGTGAGCTGAGGGCTGACCCGCAGGCCCAGACCTCACCAGACCACGCATCCTGGGACATGGTCACTGAAGGAAGTCTTCCACTAACTTGTTGAATTTGTCTGCGAAGTGTAAATGCAGGTTGTGCTTGCCTTCTGGCATCAGATGGAGCCTGCAGGAAACGCTGACAATTAGCAGTGCATCATTAGAAAACCTGCCGCCCTCCCTGGCATTTCACGAACACCTCACTGGGCAACCGTTTTCTTTTCCCTGCGACCTCCATCAGGGGAGAGTGTGAGGTCCATCTTAAGGGATGGTCCCAGAACAGACTCGGGAGTGAGAGCCCGAGGCTGCCTTAACAGGGAAGGGGCGCACGCGCTGCATCCGGAGCTGAATCAGGTAAGGAGTGGTTTGACTGGAAACCTGACTGAGAGGAGTGCATGCAATCTGGTGGTTACCAAAGGGAAAAAGCGTAAGAGAGGATTGGAAAGATGGTAAAAAATACGAAGAGTCCAGAGTCCACCGGACTGGAGCTCCCTGGAGTGTCTGTGTAGTGGGAAAACCCATCAGAAGGCGCCACCTGAGCAGGCCGCGCTGAGTGCTGGAAGACTCGGTAAGTCTGCCCACGGCCGGCCCCACACAGGGCAGTGCTCCCTGAGGCTGGGGGTGGAGGGCGGCCTGAGCCCCCACCGGCCACACCCTGGATCTGTGGCCGTCAGGACACCCCGCCCGCCTCGGGAGGCGCTTCCTTTCCTTCCTCCTCAGATGTGGATGGTCTGCAATTTCTTTCATAAAGGCAGGCTTCTCTGAGGTCTAAACTGCATTACTGCCTGTAACAGTGCAGACACAGTGAGTTTTAAACAGAGGCTCCAGGATATACGTGCAGCTCTGACTTGCTCTGCCCACTGTCAGTGGATGTTAAAAAGGCTGTATTCAGGCAGAATGCCAGTTGTCACATCGCCCGCTTCTCTGCATTCCACAGCAGGGGGCTGGGAGCCCCAGGACCTCGGTGAACATCAGGGAAGACTCGTGGGTTGCGGGCCGGGGTGGGGAGGCTCGGAACAGAGCTGTCCCTGGGCGATGCCGGGTCTCTGGCAACTGAGCTCATGGGGCAGGGGGTTGAGGGGGTATCCAGGCTGTCAAGATCGCTGGCTTGCAAGGAGGGTCTGCAGTCGGTGTCTTTCTGAGCCCCTGGGGAAGGTTAGTGATGCCATCAGCAGTAGCCGAGGCCTTCCCCAGTCAAGGTCAGTGCTGCTCATAGGAGGAGGAGCTGTCCTCTAGACGGACGGGGCTCGCAGGAGGCTCACAGCCTCCGTCCTCAAGGGACAGAAAGAGCCAGCCGCTGAGCGTGCTGGCAGGCAAGGGGGCACTGGGCCGCCCCAGGTCTCCCAGTGTGGACCGAGCTAGACCTTGACGCAGAGCCCCGCTTTGAGGGGGCCAGTCCTCTTCCGTCCTTTGTGGAGACTCCCGAGCAGGCCCGAGGGCACCATGGCCCTGACGCCCCGCCGCGCTCTCTGCGGCCGTCTTGGGCCCTGACCACCGATGCCCACACCAGCGTCCCGTCCACAAAGGCGGGCGCTCTGTGCTGAGTCCCTGCTCGCCTCGGCTGTGCCCCTACGGCCCCTTCATTCCGCAAGAAGAGAGCGGGGGTGCTGGTAGACACCACTGAGCCCATCCAGGAAACGGATACAGAAATACGCACGACTGTTTCTGGGCGCGGTTCTAGGAGACAAAGGCGTTGGTTTTGTAACTGGTATCTATTTGCAGGTAAAATCTTTGAGGGGATAGACTGTGTCTTTGTTTCTGGGAAGGAAATGAAGCCCCAAGTTCATGGGAAGCACCCTGCACTTAAGTGGCTCCCTAGGGGTCAGAAGGCCTGTGAGCACAGTCGGAGGAGGACCTTGGTGCTCCAGGAATCGACCTTCCTTCTGTGGGTCCAAAATGAACCACCATGTTTTAGCTTCTTGCTCAACCTACAAGGCTTCCCCAGCAGCGGAAGGGCGCAAGCGTAATATGCCGGCCAGTTTCAGACAATGATCGCAGCAATACTTTCCTCTCGACTCAACTGTTCCAAAGAATCCTGCTCTGAGAAAACGACCTTCCATAAGCCAATGTAGTGAAACCACAAACGTCTGAACGGTAAGGGAATATTTTTCTCCCATATTGATGTATTCAGTTGCTAGGAGATGGGTCTGGAACAGAATTCCTAAATTAAACTTTCTTGCAGACTTTTATTGAACCTGGCTCTCTAAGGGAACACACGTCGTTTATCATGAGTGTCAGTGTGCAAAAACCTGTCATTTCTGAAGAGAGAAGACACTTAACCAGGTCAGAAAGTATGTGATTCAGGCCTCTCACCATCATATTAAAATAAGAGTATGTCTGTGAGAGGCAGCTGTGTTGGGGAAGGGAAGCACTACATTATGAGGGAAAAAAAAAAAGATCCAGAGCTTGTCATTTACTAGCTATGTAACCTTGGAAGATGACCTAATGTGTCTCAGCCTTGATTTTACCCCATCTGTAAAATGGGGACAATATTTTTTTCCATGATTTTGCTGTAAAGTTTAATTAGATATTGTAGTAAAATAAGATGCCTTCTGAAATATGAAATGCTGTTTGGAAACAGAAATTATACAAGTTTATACTAATGATATTTTATTGCAGAATAAGCATGTTTCCCACATTTAAAAACTCTCCAAGAAATCTGTTAAAATCTCTTGGGGAATAAAGAGCGCAATCAGGAAGCGGAGGGCCTGTGTCTGAGTCTTCTCCTGGCTCAGGGGCCATCCAGGCAGGCTGGCCTGCTGTGGGCATGGAAGTGGCTCACACTGGGGAGGAGGAGGATGTCCTCAGGTCACTTAGGATGAGGCCATTTTCAGAAGAATTCTATACAACTCCAAAGATGTCCCGGGGAATGACGACAGCGTCTCTGGAGTGAATATGCAGGCTCTCAACGGGTCAAGGCTCCCTGGGTGGTTATTGTGAGCCACAACCTCCTGGCCAGACCTTATTTTCTCCTTCCGGATGTGCATCACTGCACATCGGGGAAACACCAGGTTTATTCAACACGGAATTTTAATCTTGAAGTAAGTACCAGCAGAACCTGGGTCTCACAGCAGCCCAAGTATTTAAATGATAAACTTCTGCTCCATACAGAAATGAATGAGACTGAAGACCAGACTCCACTGACACTTCTCATTAGGCTTGCCAGCGTGCCCGGGGCCGGCAGGCAGACCTTGCTCCCCTGTGGTTCTGAGGGATGGGTTCTCCCCTGATGTGTACGTGTTTAAGGCTTAACGTGAAAAGTGTACATTTAAGCAGGAAAAAAGCAGGAATCAAAGTTGAAGACAGAATACAATTGTATCTATGTTAAAAAATACTAGAAAAGCGGAACACACAAAAGTGCTAGTGACGGAAGTATTTAAGTGGATGGCAAGCGGCAGGCGATTTGCTTCCCTGTTTTGATTTTACGGACTTGCTGGGCAGGTGGTGATTTTACAGTGAGAGCTTCCGAGGGGCGGATGGGTTTGGGTTGGTGCCACCAGGGCGGGAACTCCCAATCCTGCTGCCAAAACCCAGGGCACCTGGGCCCCTTGGTTCCCAAATGGGGCGGGGTGCACCCTGGACGCCCAGCCCTCAGCCTTCGCCTCCTGCAGCGCCTCCCATTTTGTCTCCCAAGGCCCTGGCGCAGAGCGCTGGCTGCAGCTGGACTCACCGCGACCCTCTCACGTGTCTGTGTAAGAAGTCGGCATGGAAACGTGGGACCAGAGGATCCTTCTCACCATGCACGATTAAGGTGGGGCACTGGACCAGGGGGAGCAGGTCCCGACAGATGCTCCCTGCAAGACACGAGACAGCTCTCCTGAGGCCCTCCTGGGGCAGGGGGTGGACCCCCACCCCCGCCAGCATCTGGCCTGGATCAGACGGCCTGAGTGCTTCCAGCTCCACCAGGCTTCAGGTTTCCTGCTCTCTGTCTCTCCTGGCCTTTTTCCTTTAAGCTCTACTAGTGAACAAGGAGTCCTGGCTGATTTAGATTCATAATTCATATAAAACAGCAGTTAAACAAAAAACCTGCAAGTCTCTGTATTACACGGGGCATCTGAAAAGCTTCTCCCTTGAAATACAGGGGCCCCCGCTGGTCCTCCAAGTCCGTGTTCCTCATGGCGAAGCCACAGCTTCAGGAGCACGGAAGCTGCCTTCCACCCTGACTGCCCCCCGCCCACCCTGGGGAGACCCCAGGCCCTCCCCCGAGGGATGACAGCATTCCTGGGCAGCAAGGCACAGGCCGGGCTCCGGGTCCTGACCTGCTGTTTCCCTGAATCCACTTGGACGGCAGCCACGTGGCAAAGCCAGAGCACACACCCGGGCCTGTCTGACGCCAAAGCCACGACGCATCCCTATGCTACGCTGAGCGGCCGCAACCCTGAGGACCAGACAAGGGCCACGGTCCACGGAACCGGCCCCGCAAGGAGAGAAGGCGTTTACTGTCAGCCTTGCCGTAAGATGATTCCTGCAGTGCTGATTCTCCGTGACACCTTCTCCCTCCCTTTCTCTTTAGCAGTAGACCTCCTTCTCTAGAGTTTGAGGTTTACGGCAGAATCGCGAGGCAGGCACGGGCACACGCCCTGTCTCCCGCCACCCCCGTCACCAACGCCCCCGTCAGACATCTGTCACAGCAGACACGTCGCCACCACCCCACGTCCGCGGCTCTCACGCCGTGGGTTTGGACAAATGCAGGATGACACTGATACGGCACAATGATACTACACAGCGCTTTCACTGCCCTAAAGTTCCTCTGTGGGGCTGTTCTAAGAGGTGTATAGTGGGATCTCGCTGTTTGGTCTGTATTTCAATCAGGCTGTTTTCTTACTGTTCAGTTTTAAGAGTTTTTTTGCAGGGACTTCCCTGACGGTCCAGAGGTTAGGACTCTGCGCCTCCACTGCAGGGGAGTTCCATCCCAGGTTGGGGAACGAAGACCCCACAAGCCTTGAGCCCTGGACCCCCGTCCTTCAGGAAACAGTCACTCCTGTCTGTGGCTTATCTTTCCAGCCTCCTGAAACATATTTTGGGGCCCCGTTTCTATGGGTGCACACTGCGTTTGAACAGGATATACTTGTTTTGAACTTATGGCAACAAACTAACATTTCCAAATGTCCTTCTCATTATGAAAGTTCTGACGGATGACTCATTCTGGAAATGACTACTGAGGAGACAAAACTGGGCCCTGAATCATAACTGTTTGGTAACTTGATGTGTTTCAAGGTCAGATCCCACCTACTCTCTATTCTTTTGTCAATTAGAAAAATGAGAGCTTAGAAATGAAAACAGCTCTGAGAACAGACTAATTCAGAGCTTCTCTCAAGGGTGCCAGTTCTTGTTATCGGAACACACCTGTCACGGCTGAAACGACACAGCTTAGCTCGGAAGACAGGAAAGGACTGAATCCCTTTTCCTCATCCTGACTCCACTGGGGCTGAAGGTTGTGACAGAGACCCCTCCTCTCCTGCCGGATAACAGAGGCGGCAGTGGGCTGATGCCTCTAGATGTGTAAAGGGGGAAGTCTACGTTGCCATTGTTTGTTTTTGAGAGACCATCCTGGAGTTAGAAGAGTGTATGAGACTTCTGGAGACAAAGGGGAAAAGACCAGCGTGCTACGAGAGTCAACAACATGAACTTTGTACACACGTCTATCTCTGATGCCAGGAGGGTGTGCGGCACAAGAACTTGCCTTTGTACATGATCACCCTCTGTTCACGCGTCAGTGTGGAAGGATGGTGGGTGAGTGTGTCAATCCCCAAGGGATTCGCGAGCATTGGGGGGACTTGGCCTCTCTAACCAGCAAAGGGACCGTTAAGTGGCTCGTGTGACCTACCGTCTGGAAGATGCTTAAATTGGTCTATGCCATTCACCCACTTTTCACAGGTTCTGGCAAAGTAGTCGAACCCATAGAGGGCTTCCAGAGGTTTTCTCATCCTCTCATTCCACTTAGAAACATCCCGGAGTCCTGGAAGACAGACAGACGTGTGGGCAAGGATGGGTTTAGCCTCAGACTAGAGCTCATCTGTGAAAACTCCAAGCGCAATGCACCTGGAGCCGTGGCGCTGGCTGCCTGTCGGTGGGCGCGCTGCCCGTCCCTGTGTGGCTTGCCAGGCTTCACTCCAGTCGGCCGGGCCTTCCCTGACCCCCCGCGTCACTGCCCAGCACGGTTGCTTCCACTGGCTTCTGCAGCCGTGGTGAATGCTGAGTGCTGTGTCAGGGTTCCGCTGTGTTCTGTCCCCCGCGGCGGCCCTTGGGCAGCAGCAGATTCTGACTGAGGGAATGAAATCAGATCTAAAATAATGGCTTCCACTAAAGGTATAAGACAGAAGCGGATATTCCCCTAACTGGGGTCATCAGCGTAAAAATGACATTACTTATAACAGAGATTTTCTGAATTGCATTTACACACACTGAGAAATCCATAAACATCATTTGCTCCAAGTTCTACCACTGGAGAAATTGTAACTACTAACTACAAGCTGTCGCACAGATGACTCTCTGATGGGAAAGGAAATGATGGCTTCAGAATGGATAAGCGAATTAAATCCCTTAGCCCAGTTTCTCCATTTTTCAGTAAAACACGGTGACTGTGGAGATTCTGAAGCTCCTGCACACAGTCAACAGTGCTTACCAAGCACCTCGGGTGCAGAGCTCCGTCTGCAGGATCCGCCCTGCAGACAGGACGGCAGGACTCACGTGGCGCGCTGCCGAGCGGGGGCCGGGCACCTGAGGCCCAGCAGGCGCGGGGTGAGTGGACACAGCTAAGAGGCGCGGACAGCTCGAACTGCTGTCCGGGGCGGGGTGACCCGACAGAGACAACGCCCGCCGTTCTGCTGCTCCTCAGGATGGAGATGGGCCTCCAGGGTTGAGCCCAGAGGCTGAGGACGCAGAACTGCCCTGGGCGGAACTGAGGAGACTTCGGATGGGAGGGGGAGATGTAGAGAAGCAGCCTGAGGTCCAGGAAGGAAGAGCAAGTGAAGTGGAGAAGGACGGAGAAGGGGAGAGTGCGCGGTGGAGGAGGACGGAGAAGGGGAGAGCGCGTGGTGGAGGAGGACGGAGAAGGGGAGAGCCCCCGGGAGGACGGGGTGGGGAGGACGGAGAGGAGAGACTGTGCGGTGGAGGAGGACGGAGAAGGGGAGAGGGCGTGGTGGAGGAGGAGGGCGGGGAGGGGAGAGGGGGAGAGCGAGCTGGAGGAGGAAGAGCACCAGGGAGGACGCAGAGGAGAGACTGCGCGGTGGAGGAGGACGGGGAAGGGGAGAGTGCACGGTGTAGGAGGAGGGCGGGGAGGACGAGGAGGGGAGGAGGGGAGAGCGCGCAGTGGAGGAGGACTGGGAAGGAGAGTGTGTGTGGAGGAGGAGGAAGAGGAGGGGAGTGCGAGAGGGGAGCGCGCGCGGTGCAGGAAGACGAGGAGGAGGGGAGAGCAGGCATGCGGACAGCCAGCCCAGGACCGTGGCTCTGCCCTTGGCCGTGGAGTGGACCGCACCCGCTGCAGGCCCTTTTGTGGTGAACAACTAGCTCTGTCATAACATATAATTTCTGCTGCATCGCTGGAGTCTGCAGTAATTGATGAAAACGAGTATGAGCGTGTGTGTGTGTAAAAGACAGAAACCCTGAAAACACAGCAAAGACTGGTAGGACCAGGGCTGCCTTGAGGGAGGATGATTGTTTGCTGGGGGAGGGTGGACACAGCTGAATCCGGGATGAAAGGGGGCCCCACCTGACACCATCTGTGGTTCCCAGGGGCAGCAAGTGGATAGCTCTGAAGGAAAGCATTCTTGATTTATGCTTACCATTTATTTTGTTTGTTTTCAGACTAAGGGTAAGCAATTATTTGCTGCTAATCAGAAAACCACAAAGCAATCAGAATCTTTACAAAGCTAGTGAAACAACTAGAAAATTGAAAGAAAAATGTCCACTGGAGCCTCAGCCGGACACAGACAGGCGGTGGCCAGGCCCATGGGCTGCAGTCTGCCAGCTCTTGCTCTGTGTCTCTGAAGTCCTCACAGATAGCCTGAAGGACGACCTTAGCACTTGTCAACAGCACAGGAGTTCTTCATCAAAACTAAGGTTTCCCACCTGAGCACAATGTTCCCTTCCACACCCGGGGAACCTGAGATGAGGCTGTAAGTAACACTTACGTCAGCCCCCTCCCTCCCAGAAGGTCCCGAGCACAGCGGGAAACTAAGTACTGACTTACCAGCCTTTTCCTGAGTGTCACTGCTGGAAATAGGAAAGTTTAAAATGCAGACTAGTTAAAGTGCACAACTTTGCTGAGAAGGCTTCATCGTCCCATGACCTGTCAGCACATGCCCAAGCAGCGCCAAGCGGAGGGACCTACCCTGGTAAATCTCCACGTCCTGCTTGGTCACGTAGGCGTTGGCCCCCCAGACCACCATCTTGCTGACATACGAGGGGTACCGTGCGGCCGCGATGAGGGCTGTTATCCCCCCGTCACTCCACCCCAGCAAAGAGACCTTCTTAAAATTCAGCGTCTGTGACAAACACAGCAAAACGCAGAGCGCGGTTAGGGCTCCTAGCTGCAGAGAGCGCCTGAGATCAAGAACACCTGGGATCGACACAGCTGTGGCGTGTCCGCAGGTGTCAGAGAGCAACCCTGGAGCCCACCGTCCGCAACATAAACGGCTCCTCTGGGTCTGCTGTGGCGAGAACACGACTTTCACGGACGCCTGAGCGTGCGTACAGCATCCAGTACGGTTCCAAATTGGGAGGGAGCTACATCTTCAGGGGGCGTAGTATCTCCTGGAAAAGGACGCGGTGGGAATCGGCTCTACTCGGTCATGACAACGTGTGTGTCCACACAGGCCTGAGTGAAGATGCTGAGGACAGGTCTGCAGATCACAGAGGGACTCCTGCGAGCTGCTGGAGGGCTGGGGCCACTGTATCTGGCCAAGTCACTGACTGCAGCGTTGGGAAGAACCGGCTGCAGGACGCCTGGGATAGACGAGACACAGCGGTGAGGGTGGGGGGCGCTACTGAATCTTTGGGTGAGTTGGCCAGGCTCCAAGAATGCGCTTGACATTCTTGGTGAATGGACAGAGGTTACACCTGAGAGATGCTCTCGAGCAGTTAAGAACTGAATGACTGGGAAATTACCAATATTAGTCTGAGACATCTGTCGACGGGACTGTAGACTGGTGTGACTTCTATGGGGTAAACTTTGGCTCCACCCTGTATCTTCCATCACGCAGGAAGTCATCTCCTAAATGTGCACGGAATTCACACACATGCACCAGGGCAGGCCCACAAAATCCACAGCAGCGCTATTTACAGCAGTAAATAAGGGCCACAATGTCCACGCACAAGTGCTCACTGCACTTCCTGTATAATCACACACACACACACACACACACACACACACAGCAGCTTAGGAATAATGTATCAACCATCAGAAGACAGAGGAACTAAGACACAGTGTGTCCACACAATGGGATGGACACTAAGTGCCTGTTACCAACTGAAGTCTATCTGTACTTGTTAACCTGAAGTATCTCTGTGATAAACTGTCCAATGAAACAGTAAGCTGGAAAGCCATTAGGTATAGAAGGATGCCATCAATACAAACTGTGTATTTATATGTGTCTTAGGACTACCCAGAGCCTCAAAGCCACGGTAGCAGTGTCTCTAAAAACTTTCCTCTTTGTATCTGTTTGAACCCTCTGAATGTCTATAGGAGTTACCCTCGAAGAAACAACAAACAGAAACAAAACAAATGAAGACAGGCCCAGCCTCCTTCCTCCCAGCTCTTCCTCAAGAGACCCACCTTCATCAAATCAATGGCATCTTTTGCGTCTCGCTCAAAGAAGTCCACTGGGAAATCCCGATCCGGGGGTCGGGAGTGTCCATATCCGCGGGGGTCCCAGGCAACCACCGTGAAGAGCTTCTTATTCAGGTTCTCAATCTGAGGTCCAAAATCTGTCTCTCCACTGCCTATCAATAAAAGTGGTCATCCGGTTACACTCCAGTAAACGCTGTCCTTGCTTCAAACACACTACAGCAAAAACAGAAACAAGGGATGCAGTAACTGGTTTCGAGTCAAAATAGCAGCACCTTTGTAACCAGCAGAGCAGCCCGGCAGGGAGGGAACCCGGGGCTTCCTCTCCCGTGGGAGCTTAGACCTGCCCCTGCCTCCCCCTAGCAGCTACTCTGAGGAGGACGCACTTCTTCCCTTGGTCCTGTATCACCAATATTCCAGCACACTTGGTATCTTCTCAGTTTAACTGTCCTTTTTATTAAAAAAAAAAAAACTCATGAAACTGTGTGGAAATAAACCTACTGATACAACGTAATTATGGGTCATTCTTTCTTTTTTTAAAGTGACTGTTGCAAATGAGAGAGATCTTAATAGTATCTGTAGACACATTAATGAGATTTGATCCAAATTATTCAAAGCCAAATTCTAAAATCCCACATGTCAAAAGACTAAGCTAATGAGAATAGCCTTGGAGATTTTATTTTCTGGTCATAACTAGAAACCAGAAAATTAAACTAAAACTCTGAAATGATGGAGGGCAGGATGTGGAGGGAATAAATCAGTGTGTTTCACGACAACAGTATGTGAATATTAGTAAGTAGAACAGTGTTCTCAAGCCAGTGGTGGACTTGACTGGCAGGCAGAGTTGCCCAGTGAGGTCCACACAGTGGAAGCCCAGACTCCCAAGAAGCCCAGTCCAGGGGCAAGTCAGCATCTCATTTCTAAGCTCTGCTTGGTTTCTATGGGCTCACAGCTATGGCCACACCTTGCTTCACAAACTGGCGATTGTTAGAAAATGTCTTTCAAGATACTGTAGGATCATTTAACATCATCAAGGACCGTCACTTTCCCTGACAAAATGTACCTTCTCAACCCCAGATAAACCATCCAGAAAACCCAAGCCAAGAACAAACTGGAGTTCAGTGCGAGCCTAGTGCTCTGACCTCGGAGGCTGCTCCCGTGATCCCTGAACTGGGGGACTCCCAGGGAACCACCCTGCAGGAGAGGCAGGAGAAGGTGTGAAAGGGCGGCAGTGGGCTCACCACCACTGTCGGAAACAAGACACACGCGTCCTGGCACACACCCGAAGACCAGTGCCAAGAGCGCTAAAACTGTAAAAAACGACTTTAAAGAGTAGTTACCAATACATGATACCTGAGAGGGACACACGTCAGCACCGGCTGCCCGTGGGGAGGGGGATGGGTGCTGGGGGATGGCGGTTCAGGGCAGAAACTTGCTGCTTGATGTTTGAATCAGGTTAATGTTTTTACACAAGCAAACATTAACATTGCCAAAAGCTTTTTATACCAGGATAATGACAGCAATATTGAACCAATGGCCATCTATGCTGGCAAACTTCATCGCTTTAGCTTGGGATCGACCACTGGAGTAAAGGGCCTCCTCCACTACACTGGCGCGAGGGAAAGAGATTACCGAACACTGCCTGGACGCAGATGCCGCAACAGCTGCACCCACCAGCTGAGGCTACGTCAACTGGAACCACCAGGTAACTGAAAAACGTCAGCACTTTACTTTTAGGATAAAGAAGCAAATCATAAGGAAATAAGTATATGATGGGATTACTTAACTAAATAAAAAATAGAACAGTAACAGAAACCTTAAAATCAAATTTGACATGCTCTGGGATCACTGGAAACTCCCCTCTTGAACTTTCTACACCTAAACTTCTTGCCCGCAGGAGGTGATGGTGATCTGTCTGGCTTTTACCATGCTCTGTTCACGCCAAACTAATTCTGACCTTCAGAAAGGCTGTGAAAGCCCAGCTTTGTTCTTACCTTGACTGAACACATAGTCACGCACAGCAGGGAGATCAGTCCAACTTTTAGCAGCTACTTTTAGGCTACCCACTCCAGTATTCCTGGGCTTCCCTTGTGGCTCAGCTGATAAAGAATCCGCCTGCAATGTGGGAGACCTGGGTTCGATCCCTGGGTTGGGAAGATCCTCTGGAGAAGGGAAAGGCTACTCACTCGACTATTCTGGCCTGGAGAATTCCATGGACTGTATAGTCCATGGGGTCGCAAAGAGTCAGATAAGACTGAGAGACTTTCACTTTCAGGCTGCAGGAAACTACATAGTGTTGGACTTCCATGGAGAAAAGCGGGTATTTAAAGGAATGAAAACTGCATAAAGTAGAAAGGTATCTTCGGGGCTTCCCTGGTGGCTCAGTGGTGAAGAGCCCACCTGCTAATGCAGAAGACGCGGGTTCGATCCCTGAGCCGCAAAGATCCCACATGCTGTGGAGCAGCTAAGCTCGTGAAGCGTAACTCAAGCCCGAGCTCTGCAACAAGAAAAGCGCCACAATGAGAAGCCCAAGCGCTGCAACTAGAGAGCAGCCACCGCTCACTGCATTAGAGAAAAGCCCCCACAGCAGTGAAGACCCAGCACAGCCAGGAATGACTAAGCAAGTACAATTTTAAAAGAAAGGTAGCTTTCTGGATCACCTAAAGTTGATTGCGGCAAATATTACAGAAAGCATCTCGGCGAAGCACTAAGGCTGCGCATTGAGCCCGGGGAATCTGGGATTGGGGGCTGAGCAGAGGACAGCGTGCTGGGCCCGCCGGGGAAACCTGCGCACCCAGCATCCCCGGGAGCAGCAGGACGGCGTGCTCTCCGTCTCCGGTGCGCAGGTAGTGCAGGTGGACGCCGTTCACCGCCGCCTTGGCAGAGACCACAGAGGAGCTGCAAGAGAGAAGCCCCTAGGGAAAGGCTACTCACTCGACTATTCTGGCCTGGAGAATTCCATGGACTGTATAGTCCATGGGGTCGCAAAGAGTCAGATAAGACTGAGAGACTTTCACTTTCAGGCTGCAGGAAACTACATAGTGTTGGACTTCCATGGAGAAAAGCGGGTATTTAAAGGAATGAAAACTGCACAAAGTAGAAAGGTATCTTCGGGGCTTCCCTGGTGGCTCAGTGGTGAAGAGCCCACCTGCTAATGCAGAAGACGCGGGTTCGATCCCTGAGCCGCAAAGATCCCACATGCTGTGGAGCAGCTAAGCTCGTGAAGCGTAACTCAAGCCCGAGCTCTGCAACAAGAAAAGCGCCACAATGAGAAGCCCAAGCGCTGCAACTAGAGAGCAGCCACCGCTCACTGCATTAGAGAAAAGCCCCCACAGCAGTGAAGACCCAGCACAGCCAGGAATGACTAAGCAAGTACAATTTTAAAAGAAAGGTAGCTTTCTGGATCACCTAAAGTTGATTGCGGCAAATATTACAGAAAGCATCTCGGCGAAGCACTAAGGCTGCGCATTGAGCCCGGGGAATCTGGGATTGGGGACTGAGCAGAGGACAGCGTGCTGGGCCCGCCGGGGAAACCTGCGCACCCAGCATCCCCGGGAGCAGCAGGACGGCGTGCTCTCCGTCTCCGGTGCGCAGGTAGTGCAGGTGGACGCCGTTCACCGCCGCCTTGGCAGAGACCACAGAGGAGCTGCAAGAGAGAAGCCCCGACCTCAGACGGTAACTGAGCTTGCGCGCCAGCCAGCCCCAGCAGCCTCCCCGGCCCCTGGTCATCCGGCTTCGCGCTTGTTTCCCAAAGGAAAGGGGGGGCCACTGCAGCACCAACTCCGGGCCCGCCCACGGGAGCACCGATGTCAAGGGGCCCACAGCCCCGCGGCGGGAGGCAGGGCCTCCGCGGCGGGAGGCCAGGGGCAGGGCGCCGGCACAGAGCCTGGAGCCCCTGGTCGAGGCCCAGGCAGGTCCAGAGGAGCCACCCAGACCTTTGGCTGCACAGGCAGCAATCCCAAGGGTGACGCCGGTCGTGGGGTCCACAGGCTGACCTTCTGGCTCCTGGCCTCTCTGTTCTTAGGCAGCGGCACAAGCGCCCTGGTCAAGAATGCCTGTCTGCTCGGATCTGTCTGCCAGATCTGTTTGTAAGATGCTGAGATGTCTGCACTGACTGTTAAGTAGCCAGTCTGTGTCTACAGAGACCCACACCTCGCCCCCTCCTTGGCCCAAGACCGCCCACGCTGCGGCATCTAACCATGTGTCGTCCTGGGGGCCCTGCGCAGGGCAACCCCCTCAGTGACTGTCCCAGGAGCTCCAGGAGCTGGACCTGGACCACGGCACCGGGACACCCAGCAACAGCGCACACTCGGCCCGGCCTCAGGCGCTGAGAGCCTCCCAGCAGCCCCTCAGACGGCCGGGTGACACGCAGGAGGGGCATGAAGGCATAGCAGGACAGATGCTGGCAGGCACAGCCAGTCAAAGAGCACACAGACCTGGGTGGTAGGAAGGCTGACCTAACTACAGGCTCATGGTCCACAGAAATGTCACAGGAGGGGTAATAACAGGACCCTTGAGCCGGGGTCCTGTCTCAGGGACCGTGCTGTTACTTGTTATTAACATCCTGCGTCCTTGGACGGCTCCACTCCTAGAGTCAACTCAGAAACGAGGGTTTACAGACGTTTCCTTTGCCCCCAGCCATCTGCAGAGAGGTGTCTGCACACCCTCAGGGAGGGGAGGGTCGTGACAGCAGAGAAGCGGTCAGACTCCTGTCCAGCACAGGAACAAGGTGGCTCCCCAGACAGACACCCGGCGCTTGCTCAGCTCAGGGACTGCTCCTGCTACTCGTCCGGCCTGGAAGGTTCTCCAGGGCCCCTGCCTTGCAGCGTGAAGGACGTCTTGTAAAGGCATTCTGCACTGGGAAGGCATCACATACGAGGCGACCCCGCCATCTCTCGCTATCTCCGAGCCCAGGGCTTTCACATCCCGGAGTTTCCGGCTCTCAGGCCTGGGAGCCAGCCGCCTGGGGCCTGGCTCACACCCGACTTCCCTTTTGTGGTCTGTCTGACGTCTCTCCTGCCGAAAGCCTCTCACTTGCCTGTGCCTTGCCCTATCTGTAGATTCCCCAATGCCTAAGCACACAGATAAAACCAGGCCGTCTAGACCTGGGCGTGATGGGCGCTAGGTGTCACGGGGGGGTTGTGGTGGCAGAGGACTTTGAGGGTGGTCTCAGAGATGAGACGCCCTGTGGGGGTTGTGGAGAGGCACCTGGAGAAGAATGGAGAAGTGACTTTTAAGATGAAATTCCAAGATGGGTAAAATGCTGGAGAGAAAATAGGGTGGGGAGGGTGCTTCTAGGAGAATTGGGACCCTCAAGGGCCCAGGAGTCAGGGACACACCTGGGGGAAGGCAGGTCAGGTGGGGCCGGCAGTGGGCACAGAGGAGCAAAGGTCAGGCTAGATGCCAACAGGTTTGCGGCTGCGCTGTCAGGGCAGGGAGCACGCCTGGGGCTGTCACCGCTGCTGGGACCTGCCCTTGTCACTTCAGCCGGCCCCAGGGGCAATGGAGGCTCCCAGAACCTCGCCTCCATCTCCAGGCTGGAGAAATGGGACAGAAAACTGGACAAAAGCAAATTAACCTAAAAAGAAAAAAGTTTCCTTTTAAAAAATATTTATTAAATGACTTTCCACATCAATACACTTGAAATGAGTTTTGCATTCTCCCTCCAGATTATCAAAGGGCTCTTGGATGGTGGTCAGGCCCCTGAAACAGTTAGAAAACTTTAAAGAACAAAAACGAACCTCTTTCTCTTAGGCTTTACTCCTCCAGCACTTTCTCCCTACTATTAATCGCTTTGCTAACCTAGGTGTTCTTAAGCAGGGGTGTCCATTAGAATCACCTGAGGAGTTAAAGCTATGCCTGGTGACCCACTGGTGACTCTGCGGTGGAGCCCTGGCACATGCTTTCTGAAACACTGCTGTGCATTCACCCATCCATGTGCATCCGGAACCCCGACTTTGTGCTGGGCACCCCAGGTGCCTAGGGGTTGGCAGAGAAGACCAGTCTGCCAACTACTGATATTCTGACAGAAGCTGTGGAGACAGGAGACCCTGGGGTGCACACAGCAGACACAGGTTCATGCCTTCCGTGCCCCAACATACCTGCCCACGCAGCCCCCTGTGGATGAGACCACTTCCTGCCCCCATGATGTCCCGGGTGGGGGCGGGGAGTGGGGGTCGCAAGCTTAGTTTGAGTCTTCTGCAAACCTTTACATCTCCAGACGCCCAGGCTGCACTGAATGGACATCTCTGGGATGGGATCTATGCATCTGCATTCGTTAAATTCCCTAAGAGAATCCAATAGACAACCAAGGATAAGGAAGGTTATACTGAATTCATTTTGGAGAACAAAAAATTTCAGTCTCCTTTGTAAATACAGTCTGGAAAGCCATCCATCTCTTATCTGTCCTGTCCCTCCTTCTGGGAGGCTGGACGAACAAGTCTGTGTGTGTGTGGCGGGGGGCGGGGGGATGGGCACGGGGCAGGAGCGATAGCGCAGCAAACCCCCTCAACAAGGGAGATGACCGCAGGGCCGGCAAGAACAGAACAGTTTGGGGCAGTAACTGCAGTAGGACTGCTCAGTGTATTGAACTAGGTAATGTCCTCTGATGACGCACACGAGACTTTGCCTAATTCTACCACCGAGGAAGCTGAGAGTTAAGAGTTTGGGTAGCGGGCCCCAGTCACCCGCCTGCAATGTGCAAAGTCAAAGTGAGCACCTGAATGTCACACTCTGCTCAGAAGTAAAAACAGGAGCCACCTCATAAGATACGTCCTCATTTTGAAAGTCCAACATATTCTCTGTACCTTGTATCTTCTGGTATTTCTTTTGTATATTTTTTTCTATTCATTTTTTAAAAATTAATTTATTTTAATTGGAGGCTAACTACTTTACAACATTGTAGTGGTTTTTGCCATACACTGACATGAATCAGCCATGGGTTGTATACTTTTTTCTAAAGGGACTGTTAGCTACAATGAAGTATTAGCAACACAAACATGAATTTTGATGACTTATTTTCATACCTTTCATACATTGTATTATTATCTAGATAGTCATATTTGTATTATTAATTGTAACTGCTAATTACTTAGTATGTGCAGGGAGCCGGCCTGAACGTACAGGCCCCTTACGGCTCTAAGAGAGAACAAAGGGTCTCTCTTTGTCCTGCCACCCCTTCTTGTTAAAGTATAGACTGGCATTTGTCCCCTTCAGGGAAAAAACACCCCGGTGACCTTTCGCCTGTTTTCCTGGTGCTGATAAACTCGTCATGCTTGAAGCCTGTTTTCTATCTAGTTAATGTTCTATTGATCTTAATCATGTTGGGCGCTAGGGTAATGCTGTACTGATCTTAAGTGGAGAAATTTAAAACATCTGTGCCTGTAGCTCTGCACATATGCAAACCTTTGATCTATTTTTAGTAACTCCTGTTAGCATATATATAGGTGTGGTATTCTTCAATAAAGTTGTCGGAATCAGACGCAAGCTGACTCCGTCCCTCTCAACCCCATCTTTCTGAGTCTTATGTCCTAGGTACTCTGGTAATTGCGTTCTCGACCAGTTCGTTTGCCGGCAGGCTCCGGCAAGTGTGGGGGCTTCCCAGGTGGCACAGAGGTAAAGAATCTGCCTGCCAATGCAGGAGACAAGAGAGATGTAGGTTCGACCCCTGGGTTGGGAAGATTCCCTGGAGCAGGAAATGGCAACCCACTCCAGTATTCTTGCCTGGAGAATCCCATGGACAGGGGAGCCTGACAGGCTACAGTCCATGGGATCGCAAAGAGTTGGACATGACTGAGTGCCCTGGCCTTTAAAATTCACTGTGTCAAATCCTTAGGACAATTCTGCAAGGTGTGAGGCTCAGAGAGGTTACATAACTTGGCCGAGTACATGCTTTTTCCGTAACCACACTGCCAAATAGAGTCCCCTACAGGGCTACTAGACACCAGGCCGGCACTCACCCTGACTGCTGGACAGAGGCTGGGGCAGGTGCCGGGGCAGGCACTTCTCTTCCCTCAGGCAGAGTATCCCCAGACTGAACTGGAAAACATCTGTCTTCAGGTGGGCTGTTAGGCTTCCTCAAGTTATAATACTGTAACTGCACATAACATACAACTTCAGATAGAAAAGGCTTGGGGTGGAAGAGGGCGGATGTACAGAGAAGCTTCTGGAACACAACTCAATCGTGGGTTGGGGCACCCACTCTTCTGAAGCCACGGTCTTACAGGAGTGCTCTCCCCTACTTACACAAACTGCACTCTTGTTTCAGGATTAGTCAACACACTGCATGTTTGGCCCATCATAGGTCAGATCAATTTCAATTGCATTTACAAAATGGAGGTTCAAAATCCAGAGAAACCTGTTTCCCAGGGATATTTTAGAATGCATGATCTGCACTGCTAAGTGGATGAGGCCTTCTTGCAACCATTAACCAACAGTCAGATACTGGTTCTATCACAGTAACCTCATTTCAATTCCTTTCTATAAACAGGAAACCGGGTAGACAGGCATTTTTCAGTGGACTTAGGCTGCAGACACTGACATTATTTTCCCATCTGTATGAAAACAGCTCTGAAAATCTTAATAGACCTAAAATGGTAACAAAATAAAATCCTAAACTCAAGACCCAATGAATCACAATACGAAAGCGGAAAGCTGGTCATACTGCTTCTTACGCCTTCGGAGTGGATGCTTCGCCATCAGGTACAGTGCAGCTCTGAAGCCCAAGTACCCGCCGAGCTGGTGCACAGACACCTCCCTCGTCAAGAACGGAACTGACTCGCCGGCAGTGAGCGACGACCACCCTGCGCGCGCCCCCATGACCGGCCACTATCACCTGGAACCAAGGGCGCCCACTTTGGGACTGGGGGTCAGAAGTTAATCCAGGGGCTGTCTTCCCTCAAGGTATGTGCAGGTGGTAAGAGGAGAGAAAGGCAGACTCTCGGGCGTCTCCACGGCCTGCACCCCTCGGGGAGCCGGGCCCAGGAACCCGCATCCCCCGATCCCCGGGTGGATCTCCCGCACGTCCCAGCTCGAGGTCCAGCCAGCGGCTCCGAGACGTGACGCGGCGGGAACACTGCAGGCTGGCTCAGGAGCCAGGGTCCGGGGTTCAAGCGCGCCTTCTCCCTGGCCTCCGTCCGCATGGCCGCCCCAAGGCCGAGCGCAGCGCCCCCTCGGCCGTGCCCGGGTCACGACTTGACGGGCAAAGGGTCGGCGAGGCGGCGACCGCTCGCGGCCCCGTCCCGGCCGCTGGCCCCTGCCCCCTTTCCGCCGCCCCGAGCGCGCGGACGAGGATACGGGGGCCCCTGGAGGGGAGCGGCGTCATTACCCGAACGCGGCGACAGGCCTGACCCGGGGGACTTGGATCCCGGGCTTCAGCCATGAGAACAGGAGCCTCAGCCGCTGCTCGGCCTTACCGCCCAGCAATGCCGCCATGGTGGGTGCGTGTGACAGCCCGGGGAGTGCGCATGCGCCGCGTCTCCCAGCAGCCCTGAGAGCTCATCGCCCCGAGCACGCATGCGCCGGGACGCCGGTCTCCCCGAGCTCGCCCGCTTCCGTCCCGAGCACGCATGCGCGGGGCGGTGTGGGCGCTGAGCTGGAGACCCAGGGTTTCTAGCAGATTCCTCGCCGCACCTGTGCTCGCGGTTCCCGGGGACATCGGCACACAGCGTCTCCGCTGGGTGTCAACTCTCGCCTAACGGTGACCGGCGTCCCGCCCTCGCGGAGGGGTGGGCTCGGGGCCGCCGGCCTGACCGCTGCTCTGTGCGTTCTTGCACCGGCCCACGCCCGCTAGGGCACCTGCTGCCGGAGATCCCGGAGATCAGGGAGGGGCCGGCGGCGGCTGGAGAGCGGTGCGGGCGGCGGGGGCGGGCCTCGAGAGCTAAGCCGGAGCCCCCGAAGGATCCCGCAGACAGGCCGGGGCTACCGCCTCTCGGCGCTGTGGCGGGAGCAGAGTGGGGCGCCGGGTGCGGAGGATGGGGGTTGTGTCCGCGTGGGGCCCCTGGCCGCCCCCGGGGTGGGGGAGAGGCGAGGACGGCAGGCATGGTCGTAAAAGGAGCCGCGTGTAAGTGCAGGTCACTGAGGCCCCTGCGGCCCAGGTGGGTGTCGGGCTGGCCGGCGGCAGGGTTAATGTCTAATGGGGGCAGAGCTTCAGTTTTGCAGGAACGTGGCAGCAGACAGTGTGAATGTGCTTAGGGCTGTACACTTAAAAACGGGTAAGATGGCAAATTTTATGTGTATTTCACCACTGTTGAGTGTGTGTGCTTCTTACGACCAGTTCAGTCTTTAAAGATTATAAATAGCATTTGCAGCTGAAGGTTCCATAGGGAAAATAAAAAACAATACCCTTTGATTGTGGCTACTCTCTGCCTTAACAGAAAACAACTGCACATCGGTGGCTGTTGTTGAGCCTTGTCTTGAATTGGAGATTCCAGCAGCTTCCTTTCATTTTATATTACTTCTTCTCCCAGAGACCCTCCATTGTAAGAACCCTCTGTGCACAGTGCTTCCTGGTGTTACAGCCACGGACCGTTGTATTGCCCGCAGTGTCCTCCCTGACCCATGGGAGTTTCTTGAGCAGTAAACTGAGGTTTGATTTAAATACCGACTATGATAAGATGTTCTTTCAACATAAAGCTGTCACATCAATTTCCTGCACAGAAGGAAAGAGAAACATGTGATGTTCCAGCTACTATTGTTTGACTTTCAGAATCTTGGGTGGGGTCAACATTTCCTTATTTTTTTATGAAATGTTGATTGGGATTTCTTGTCAGAGATGATGAGGGTTAAAAATAATTGTACAATTTTAACACCAGTTATCCTACTGGGCAGCAAAAATGGTAACGCTGAGGTCTTAGGCTATTGGTGACAACTAATAAAAACCTACTGTATAACACAGGGAGCTCAATACTCTGTAATGACTAAAGAATCTGTAAAAGAATCTAAAAAAGAGTGGATATGACATTCACTTTGCTGCACACCTGGAACTAACAAAGCATTATAAATCAACTAGACTCCAGCAAAAATTAATTTTAAAAATACTTTTTTTAGGGACTTCCCTGGTGGTCCAGTGGTTAAGACTTTGCCTTCCAATGCAAAGGGGTGTGGGTTCAACCCCTGATCGGGGAGATAGGATCCCACATGCCTCTACACCAAAACATAAAAACAGAAGCAATACCGTAACAAATTCAATAAAGACTTTAAACATGTTCTACATCAAAAAACATCTTAAATAACTTTTTTGTGCCAGGCACCAAAAAATGAGATGCATCATCTTATTTTATTCCTCACACCTACCTTATGTCCTAGCACCCTATTTACAGATGAGGAAACTGAGGCCGGCAAAGGTCAGGAAGCAGGCCCCAGGTGCATGGCTAGAGTGGAACTTACGCCTGCTTGATTTCAGAGGCCTTGTGTTTGGATTATACTATAGAACTAGTCTTTCAGTGATTTCTTTGTAATCAGATGCTTCTAACACCTTGACCGTATACAGGCCTATTTATAGGATTACTGTAATTAGAAAAGCTTTTTAAACTGTTTAAAATGCCTTGTGAGAAATAACTCCTTTTCATGTTGCTGAAGATCTAACTTCATCTTCTGGAGCCACAGCAAAGATTATCACGACAACGACAAGCAGGGACTCTGCTAAGCAGGGTCTGCGGTCTGGGAGCGGGTCTCAGCAGTATCAACTTCAGGGTCTGGATACCTTTCTCGGAACCAAGAACGGGTCGCCTTCTTTCTCATATTGTAGTCTGTGTCGTCCCACTTCGTTGATTCCTGCCCAAGACGAGTGTTTTTGTGGTGTTTGCGCTTAGCATCGAAACTCCTCAGATGTAGACTTGGTCCTCTTGGGTCCAGCGTTTAGACAGCGGGGGCTGAAGGAAAGGCCCCTGAGCCAGGTGTGAAGGACAGCAGGCTCAGACTCTTGGGCCTTTGGGTTTTTCATCTTTAAGTCAAAATGCACCGTCAGGAAGGCTCTTTTCTCCCCAGCTTCCCCTCTCCTGCCAGTAGCTGGGGTGAAATGGAAACACCAGCCCACGCGGCAAAGTCACCATGGAGAATCTCACACTGTTTCATTTATACAAACACATCATTTCAGCGGCTTCTATTTGAGGTACAAAATTTTATTTTAATTAGTTCATTAAAATATTGTCTGCTTTTTGCCTCTGACACTGATTAGTTAACCTGTTTGGAATTTAGAGAACAGTGATCACAACTGATGCATCTGGAAAAGAAATCACCCCACCCCTCCCACAGCTGGAGGCCATCTCCCCCTCCAGTTTTCCACTATCTGACTGGATGAGAATTTTTTTTTACTTTGGTTATAACAGGCACTTATGTGGAGAAGACAGTGTAAAATTAGAAAGCTGACTTAGGTTATATTCTCCGAATTTTTTTTTCCCTTGCTCAAACAAAACTCCCAGAAACCAGAATGAATAGCATGAAGATTATGGGATAATATGAAAGAAAAAAAAGGTCTTTCTCAAATCTCTCTTCTCTCCTTTTCAAAGCCCAGTTAGGCTTCTTGTTGGGTTGGGCCGTGGCCATGAATAGGTCGTCCTGCGAAGTGGGTGGTTTGCCGTAGTTTCCTTTTTCCACACTCCAGCTGTGAAAGGCAGGAAGTGATTTCTACGCAGACATAGCACCCCCATATCAGGGAGAAAGAAGTCCGAGACACCGCAGGCAGCAGGCTCTCACCGGGTGAGAAGGCGGCCTCCGGCTGTAGGAGCGCCTGGGAGCTTAGTTCTGGCTGATGCGGATCAAGCAGTTGACCAGGTCTATCCGGGAGCACAGGTAGAGTGCAAAGGCCAGCTTCCCCACTGTGGCTCCCTTGCTGCCTTCGCGCATCAGCCACTTTTGGAGCATCTGGTAAACCTTCTCTTTGAGTCCATCTCGCTCGTAGTCGTGGTCGATTTCATCGATCTGAGACTCGGAGAAACCCAGCTTACGGGCACAGTTTTTCCAATGTTTCCCCAGATTCTCCCTGACCGGGTCCAGGTGTTTATCAGTCAGACTAGTGGTATTATCTGCCGAACAGAAAAGAGGAGAAAGCATTGCGCTATGGCCATATGAACGCTGGCTTCAAACACCTGTGTAAAGTACAGAGTACCAGGAATCGGTGAACAAGTTAACTTCTCCATGCTCTGGCTGTTGGCTCCCTGGATGATCCTCACCTACCTACCAGCCCACGCGAGGACCTGCTTCCTCCTAGGAGCTGCCCCCAGAGCCCGCAGCCCGTTTACACGACGCCTTCCTGACGTCAAGGGGGAAAACACCATTTTTGTTCCTTTTGGGCCTTTCCTGCTTACATCTGGCCAGAGTTAAGGTCACTCAACTCAGGATACCTTCACCCAGTGTGTGCATTTTTCTTACCTGGTCAAGGAAGCTGAGGCCGCCGTGTGGAAACTGTTTGAGTGCACTGTCTTTTCACGGGTGTGGGATTTCTGGGCTCATCCCTCCCCCGCCCCGCTGAGTCCTCCTCTCTCCTAGGCCTCTCCCTCCTTCCTGGTCCCTTCCTCTCAGGCCTTCGTAAAAATAAGAAAATGAAGCAAATAAAAGTATAAACCCACCACAAACAAGCCATATTCCATGGTGTTCAGTAAGTGGAATAACAAAAAGGCACCTCATCCTCCCCTGCAGATCACCCATTCTTTCCTTGGCTCCCACAGTGCAGCTCCGGCCGTCACCACCAGATGTCAGCCTCCTGGTCAGTGCTTCACCAGGAGAGGGACCCTGTCGCCCCAGAGGTTAGGAACCTCTGCTCTAGTCCATCACAGACTAGCTTCGAGAGGGTCAGATGGGTTGGCCACCTACGGCCTGGGAGCGCACCGTGGCCCCTGCTTGTTGCTGTAGACAAGCTCACTGCAGGGTGGCCGCGCCCCGTGGCGCGCGCTGCCCGTGGCTCCTGGCGCTGCAGGGCCACCTGCGCCTGTGCTCTGCTCAGTGGCTCAGTCGTGGCCGACTCTGTGGCCCCGGGGCTGTAGCCCCAGGCTCCTCTGTCCGTGGGATTCTCCAGGCGAGAAGACTGGACTGGGTTGCCATGCCCTCCTCCAGGGGACCTTCCCTACCCAGGGACCCAGCCCAGGTCTCCCACACTGCAGGCGGATTCTTTACCATCTGAGCCAGCAGGGAGGCCCACAAGGAAGCAGTGTCAACGGAGCGACTACAACAGAGATGGCAGGGCCAGCGAAGCCGAAAACATTACTCTCTGGCCCTTGATTAAATAAAAAAAAGAATGCCAACCCTGGCGTTAAATAGAAAGCTGGGTTCTTAAGTCACCCTGTTTCTCCCAGGTTGTATTTTGGGATTAATGTTACGAGGCTGTCTAGTGGAACCCCATAAGAGAAAGCCCTCTAATTTTTATTATGCACGTGCAGCTGAGGGCATAGTCTTCTGTCTTTTACGGAATCCCTTTTGATGAGGACCTGATGAGCTCCTGTGTCCGGGTGGTCATATTGATGATGATGATGTGTTTAACACTTATAGATCTTACTATGTGCCAGACAGTGTATAAGTGCTTTATTTGTATTGACTCATTTCACTTTCACAGCAAACCCATGAATTAGATATTCTAATTATGTCCTCGGTACACATAAATAAGTTACACAGTAATTCTATGGAAATTACATGAGGAGCAATAGGGCATCTGCAGGGAGAATAATCAGAGAAGTATTAGGTGAGAAAGTTCTAGGTTGCTGTAGGATGCGTCCTTGAAGGGTGTCTTACCAAAGATAGCTTGGTACTTAGAAGCCGGCTCTTCTTTCAAGTGCATGTACGTGCTGTCCAGCACCGATGAACTCACGCCACCAATCTCCATGTAGTTGCTGTCACCAATCTGAATGCCAGAACTGCTGTAGATGGTATACTTTGCAGACTCATCTAGTTAGAAAGAAACGCAGAGATAAGTGGTGTATCTAGACTACAACAGAGAGAAAAAAGTACAGCCTGGGAGAAGGGTAGGACTCTACTCCAAATGCTTAAGTTAAACTATTTATCCTACGCCACCACTTGAAATTTTCTTCTTTAAAAGTTGGCTGAATCATCTCATATCCATTAGGTTGGAAACTGTCAAAAACACAGAAAACAATCAGTGTCAGCGAGGGTGTGGAGAACTGGAACCTCTGTGCACTGCTGGTATATAAAATGACACGGCCACTGTGGTAACCAGTGGTGGTTCCTCAAAAACTTAAAAAAATTGCCATACGATGCAGGAATTCTACTCATATATGCCCCAAAGAACTGAAAGCAGGGTCTTAATCAGATATCTATACACGCATGTTCGTAGCATTATTCCTAACAGCCAAAAAGTGGAAGCACCCAAGTGTCCATCAACAGATGAACGGATAAACAAAATGTGGTCCATTCTGGATGGACCACATAATAGTAACGCATTACTATTTCGCCTTAAAATAAGGGAATTCTGGCACAGGATGTAGCATGGATGAACCTCGAGGACACTGTCTTCAGTGAAGTAAGCCAGTCACAAAAAGAGAAATGCCATACGACTCTACTTATATGAGGTCCCTAGAGTCATCAAATTCGTAGAGACAGAAAGCGGAAGGTTGACTGCCTGGGGCTGGGAAGGAAAGAGAAAGGGGAGTTAGTGTCTGATGGGGACAGGTTCAGTTTGGGAAGAAGGAAGAGTTCTGGAGGGATGGTTGCCCAACAATGTTGTTTTCATCACAAATGGTAGTCTCTGGCCTGGATGAGATAAAGGCTGAACATGTCTGAGGCTTACTTCTTACCCTTCAGAAAACAGCAAGCAAGTGAAAGAATACAGGCAGTTACTTCCCCTTACATCAGAGCCTGGACACGGTGGACTACTGAGATTGGGCTTAGAACGGAGGATCCCACCCTGGAGGTCAGGCTCTGTCACCCCGCACGTGTGGGTAGCTGCCTGAAGCCCACCAGAACAAACAGCCTAGGCTGAGGAATCTGATGAGACTATTCTGGGGTGGCCAGGTGCATCTGGCGGCCGAAGACTCCAAACGGCTTGACCTTTGTTACCTTCTAATTTATGACAGAGCTAGTGGCTGGCTTTATTTTCAGGAAAATTTAACAGAACAGTGTGACTGCAAGGCCCATTTACCTCTTGATGGCAAGGAGGTGAATGGAATGGTGGGCGTGTTCCCCAGGAGGTTGGTCTCAGGCACCGGAGTTTTATATAGGCTTGGCATGTGGCCAGGGTTTGGCCCATACCAAACTGGTGGACTCGTGGTCCCTAGGTCCAGTGGTCTCACTCTAAGCTCAAGCGGACGAAATGATCCGTCTCTGCAGTATGGTGACTGGTGTTGGCCGCTCAGCCCTGCGGGCTGCTGGGCTGCACTGGTGAGATTCGTCACACCGGGGTAGGCGAGGCCTTTTATCCCTGGGCCCTGAGCGCTCTCATAAGGTCTCTGCTGTGCGAAAGGGTCGTGGGAGACCCTGCGCCGCCTCTCCTCGCTGCTGTAAGCCGCGCTCAGTCCGGGCTGCTCTTTCGTCCGCCTGTCCATGCGGCTGCCGTAGAGGTGGTAGTTGGCCTCCTCCTGGAGTTTACTGTGCAGCAGGAGGTCGTCCTCCTCCGGCTGGTGATCCGGGGCGGGGGCGAACCAGGACTCCTCCACGGGGCCTATCCCGAAGCCCTGCGAGCTGTGCAGAGAGCCGGGCTGTTCCGTGGCTGGAAAGGAATGACCAGAATCGGAAAGAGCATCGCGGAACACGAAGAAGTGAAACAGACCCCGGGCACCATCGGGGATCTGTGCCTTGGATAACAGACTGAAAACTCTGAGAACAAATAACAAGTATTTACTAGCTCGTCTTCCTCCTGCAAGCTGCATAGGTGGTAAGTGGCCACCCCTGCTGGTGGTGAGAGAGGACAAGAAAAGTTATAACCAAGCAGCAGAAAAGTGGGTGTTGCAGGAATGACTAGGGAAGAAAGGGACTTGCGTTGGAGCAGAGCAGCTGTCTCCTTGGTGTGATGAGGGCTGGAAAATGAGAACGGCAGCAGCTCTGGGCTAAGCATTTCCATGGATTCTTTTATTCTTTAAAAGCCTTGTAAGACTAGGAGTGGGCTTCCCGGGTGGTACTGGTGGTAAAGAACCCACCTGCCAGTGCAGGAGATGCAAGAGACGTGGGTTCGATCCCTGGGTCAGGAAGATTCCTTGGAGGAGGAAATGGCAACCCACTCCAGCATACTTGCCTGGAGAATTCCATGGACAGAGGAGCCTGGCAGACTACAGTCCACAGGGTTGCAAAGAGTCAGACACGACTGAAGTGACTTAGCACAAAACACCAGGAGCAATTATTACCATGATGATGGATGAGGCTCACAATAAGTTGGGTAACTTGCCCCGGAACAGACGGCTGATGAGCGGCTTTCATTTCTGAGACTCTGCTCTCCCTTTTGTCATAATGAGGAAAGTGCCCCTGCTTGGCTCTGCGGCCAGCCTCCCTGCACGCCCTCGGCATCTGCTCGCCCCTGACCTTCTCGAGGGCTTTGCTCCTACCTCTGTTCCTTTCTTTTGCATGAACTGTCACTCCCTCCCTATCAGGTATATTAGGCCTCTTGAGTTCGGATACTTTATGATTTTGATGAACCTGTTGTTACCTAGTATTTCAAATATATGTATCTTGAAAGTGAAAGTTGCTCAGTCGTGTCCGACTCTGCGACCCCATAGACTACACGGTCCATGGAATTCTCCAGGCCAGAATACTGGAGTGGGTAGCCTTTCCCTTCTCCAGGGGATCTTTCCAACCCAGGGATCAAACCCAGGTCTCCCACATTGCAGGCGGATTCTTTACCAGCTGAGCCACAAGGGAAACCCATATGTATCTTATGGACATAAGATATGTATCTTAACTCCAAGTATATTATAAATTCCTTTAAGACAGGCATTAAACTTTACAGCTTCTGTTTCTCATACAATTGTAACTAGCATTTTATGCAGTTGTGTGAGTGAATGAGCAAACAAGTAAATAAATAGATTTTCAATCACAATATAAGTTACCTGAATTTGACCTGCTTGGAGCTATTGCCACACAGTCAATTTGGAGAGACTTCATTCTCTTTACAATTTCATTCTGGCCTGGAAACTCTTTCTAAAATTAAGAGCATAACAACATACTTTAGGTAAACAGCAGAAAATAGTTCCCCCCAAAATTGTTACAAGAATGAATTTTTCAGAAGCTAGAAATTTCACATAGTTCTTACAAGCAGTAAATATTAAAAAAATAAATAAACTTTTTTTCCTAAATAGCCACAACAATCTTAAAAAGATTCCTGATTTCAAAACTCACTACATGGGTACAGTAATCAAAACAGTGGGGTACTGGACTAAGGAAAGACATACAGACCAATGAATATAATGAAACCAAAATAAACCCTTGCATATAAAGCCAATTGATTTTTTTAAAAATTTCTTTTTATTATCTATCTATCACGACTGAGCAGCTGAGAGCTCTCATGCACAAAGAGTCACGCTCTGTGGTTTTGCGATTTTTCACTTAACAATAAGTCTTGAAGATCTTTCCGTATCATTTGTTAGTTTCCACCACTCCTAAATGATTATATAGTTACTAACCATAACTTAGTATATCTTCTTAGAAACATCTGGGTGATATTTCCAAATTTTAAGTCTCACAAAGGTACCAACATCTGAGGCTAGATCTTGGAGCACACACCTGAACAGGATAGACTACCATGGAGAGCTGAGCAAAAGTTCGTGCTTCCAAGTCTGATGATACTTCACACTTCAGTCAGCTTCACCAGCTCACACTGATACTGCCTGAGAGTGTCTGTTACTCTGCATTTTCACCAACACTTGATATATCAGTCTTTCAAAACTGTTGTTGATCTAATGGATGAAAAATTATAATGAATTCACTTTGTTTTTCTGTTAGTGAAATCACATATCTTTTCCAATCTTTATCGTCCATTGGTGGATTCAGCTTCTTTGTATTTTATTCAGGATTTTCAAAACCATGTTGTTAAGTGAAATCATTGTGTAGTTTTCCTTTCTTGTATCTGCCTTTCAGGTTTGGGAATCAAGGTTATGGTCATCTCATAAAATGAGCTGAGGAGAGTTCCCTCTTCTGTTATCCAGACAAGTTGTATAACATCGGGGTAACTTCTTCACTGAATATTTGATAGAAATTGCTGATGAGGCTATATGGTTGTGGAATTTTCTTGTGAGACTGCTTAACTTTTTTTTTTTTTTTTTTCAATTTGTCATTTGTCTTTTTATTTTGCTTTTAGTAAGTTTTAAATTTTTATATAAGCAAATCTGTCTTTTTTTCTTCAGTAGTTTCTGGATTTTAATAGGAAAATAGTTACAGAAGTATTTAGGTTATCTGTCTTTAGTTGAGCTGCTTTCGCTAAATTATACAGCTGATCCTTGAACAGCACAGGAGTGGGGCACTCACATCACTCACAGTCAAAAATCCAAACGTATCTTTACAGCCGGCCCTCTGTATTTGTGGTGCGATGTCACAGATTCGACCAAGTGACGATCACGTATTTATTGAGAAAAATCTGGGTATAAATGGACCTATGCAGTTCAAATCTGTGTTGTTCAAAGGCCAACAGACTTAGGCTACTATCTTTCTGGTGAAATGAAGCTTTTATCGCAGTGAGATATCCCTGAGTGCTTCGCTCATGCTTTCCTGCTTTAGTGACTGTCTTCCTTGATGTCTTTACTTTGATGTAATTACTTCCTTGGTTTGCACCGGATACCTCTCTGTTACAGTGTAGGTGTCCCTTAAAAGTCTGGCAGTTCTTGACTGTCTGTGTCTGTCTCTCTATGTATTTTAAAATCTCTTGTTTCCTGCCTGTTTTATTTACCGCAGTCTGTCTTTCATGATTAGGGCAATATGTTAAGACTTAGGACGATAGCTTGTTTCCTGAGCATGTGAGTGGAGAAGGTCTCTGCTCCTCTTGGCTGGTTAGCTGGCTACGGTCTCTGACATACCGTTCTGATGCTGGGCAGGGTCTGTTCCCGTCTGCTGCTCAGCACAGCGGAGCTTGGGGGAGAGCCAACTTCCAAAATAAGCACAAGCACGGCTCCCAGGTGAAGTGCCCGCCAGCATGCCAGGTGACATCCGTTCTTCTATACGTCGACCCAAGACTTCCTCTTCCAGTATTTCTTGAGTATTACATTTGGGTTGGCCTTTTGAAACTTTTTTCCTGTTATATATCTCAAAAGAGAATTCTGTTGGCTTTTTAATCTTTCAAGAATTCTTCAAAATGACTGATCCACCTATGGTTATTTTCCATCCTATTCCAGTAATGCTGTGCTTATCTTTTTCCATATTGCTAGATATATTTTCCTCTCACTTCATTTGTTTTGACAGAGGAATGGGTCCAGTAATGCTGACTTGATGATATCTGCATTAAACTGCTAATTTTGTTTTTTTGTGGTTACTAAGCTGTGCTGTGTGTTGCTCTTGGTCACTCAGTCATGTCCGACTCTGGAACCTCATGGACTGTAGCCCACCAGGCGCCTCTGTCCATGAGGATTCTCCAGGTAAGAGTACTGAAGTGGGTTGCCATGCCCTCCTCCAGGGGATCTTCCCAGTTACCCAGCTGCTTACCTCAAGTCTCAGTAGTAAAGTGTAATGCTTTGGTTTTCATGACTGATATAGTATATGCTTTAACATGTTATCATTTTGAGCACCTACTATGTTACCTACCTTTAAACTCTTCACATCCTCTTCTACATGTTCTTCTAATTTACTTGAATAAAAAGGCCTAAATTTTTCTTCAATGCCTATACATTAAAAAAAAAAGCACTTTAAAATTTCTTAAGTATTTTCTAAAAATTAAAATATTAAGTCTATTATCTTTGAATTACGTGCCTTAATCTGTGGGCAAAGCAATAGAATAAAAATTTAAATGCCGAGTCACTTTCATAGATAGACAAACAAGACTAATTTCTCTGCAGACAGAACGAAGGCTGGGACACCACTGGAAAGAAGCCGAGGGCTCCTGCCTAACAGGATGCGGTTTTATGCTGCTCTGCTGCGGCACAAAGCCCTGCCTAAGAGGGTTAACATCCAAATGAAAAAGGAAGGGTGGGCTCCTTGTTTCTGTCCCTCTGGCATCAGAGGTGATGCAGGATGGAACACTCAGGGTAGGGATCTGGTATAAAGACTCAGAGAAACAAGGTACCAGAAGAGGGTTCAACAAATGGCCGTGGAACAAGGCAAAAAAGAAAAAACAAAATTCAACCCAAGTCTCACACCTCGTGCAAAAATTAACTCGACATGGATCACGGTATTTTCCCAATAAGACATTAAATAAATGGCAAGAAAGACAACCTAACATTTAGTTCTGTGCTATCATTCTTTTATTGGCAATAATGAATTTTCCTTGACAATCATGAAAAAAAGAACACAGACCTAAATATAAAACTCTAAGATTTTCAGAAAAAAAGGGAAGAAAGTATTTTGGGCCTAATCCTGACAGTGTCCTCAGACTTGACACCAAAATTATCATCCACAACAGGAGTGGTTAATGAATAAGACTTCATCAAAATAGAAACTTTCAGGCTGTGAAAGATCCTGAGAAGAGAATGGAAAACAACAACAACAACAAGCGCCAGGCTGGGGGAAGATAACAGAATTACACGTCCAAGAAAGGAACACTATATGGAATATACAGAGAACACTCTACACTCAACCGTGAAAAGGCAAACTCCAACTAGAAAGTGGGCAAAGCACACAGGGTGATGCTGCACGGTGGAAGAGACACAGATGGCAAACACACACCTGAGCTGTCCACCAGTGTGAGCCCCCGGAGAGGTGAAACCAAGCCACACCTAGCTACCGCTCCATACCTGTCAGAGGGGCTAAATTAAAACGTGGCAACACCGCCAAGGGCTGGTAAGGACGCAGAGAAACTGGATCACTTGTACGTAGCTGGTGAGAATATAAAATGGCACAGCCACTCTGGAAAACAGTTTGGCAGGGTTTTTTCTTTTGGCCATGCTGCACGGCTTTTGGGACCTTACTTAGGTCCCCAGCCAGGGATTGAACCTGAATCTCCGGCACTGACAGCATAGAGTCCTAACCACTGTACAGCCAGGGAATTCCCAGATTGGCAGTTTCTTTTAAGAAAAAACTAAACTAAACATGAAACTACCTGCTGCTGCTGTTGCTGCTGTGTCGCTTCAGTCGTGTCCAACTCTGTGCGACCCCACAGACGGCAGCCCACCAGGCTCCCCCGTCCCTGGGATTCCCCAGGCAAGAACACTGGAGTGGGTTGCCATTTCCTTCTCCAACACATGAAAGTGAAACGTGAAAGTGAAGTCGCTCAGTCGTGTCCGACTCTTAGCGACCCCATGCACTGCAGCCTACCAGGCTCCTCCGTCCATGGGATTTTCCAGGCAAGAGGACTGGAGTGGGGTGCCATTGCCTTCTCTGTGAAACTATCTATGACTTACTTATTTAACTCCTGGGTACTTATTCTAGAGAAATATTTACATTCACACAAAAACCTGTGACGTGAGTATCCACAGCAGCTTTACTCCTGTGAACAGCAGCAGGAGGGACCCTTGTGGAGATGGTGGTGTGTTGGATCTGACTGTGTCAGGGTCAGTATTCCCGCTGTGGTCTGTACTGCGTCTGGCCAGATTGTGATCTTTGGAGGGAGCTAGGTAAAAGGGTACACGGGATGTCTGTATTATTTCTTACAACTGCATGTAGATCTACAATTATCTCAGAAGAAGAATTTTAGTTTAAAAAAGTGAAAAAGACACGAGAAGAAACCAGGCCGGGACAAGATGCAGGCTGAGTGAGTGAGAAAGCAGGCAGCGAGTCAGTCACCCCTGCAGCCCTCTGGTGGGAGTGGCTGGTGGGGTTTCCATTCTGTTTCCTCAGAGCAGGAATACAAGCGCAGAAGCCCCTGCAGGCTCCTAAGCTCCTTCCTGCTCTTTATTTCTTCCTAACCCGATTTTCTCTCTTCCTCCGCCTCCAGGACCTTAGCAAGGTCCTAGGGGGCCCAGGGGGATGAGAAGGGGTACACGGATGTGACAAACCCCAGTCCCTTTTCTTCTCCTCTTGCTCTCAGCCCAATGCAGATGGCAAATAATGCTCCCAGAGATGCCAGCCACACACAGGGAGGAACCGAGATCAAAGAAGCTAAGAGTCAGATGGCCGGGAAGCACCCCAGCATCCGGCAGCAGGTGACTGGACAGACACGGTGCGGTCCTCACGCCGTAGAACACCGCTCAGCAGGAAACAGGAGGAGATCCTGACAGGCTATGACTTGGCAGGAGCCCTGAAGACACTGCCCAGTGAACCAGGACAAACACTAGGATTCTACCTCCATGGGGGACCCCGTGTAGCCAAGTTCACAGAGACAGACAGGAGGATGGCGGCTGCCAGGGGTTGGGCAGGGGGCTGGGGAGTCAGTGTTGAACAGGTACGGTTTCAGGTGGGGAAGGTGAAGACACTGAATGTGCTAAATGCTGCTGAACTGTGGTGTTGGAGAAGACTCTTCAGAGTCCCTTGAACAGCAAGGAGATCAAACCACTCAGTCCTAAAGGAAATCAACCCTGAATATTCACTGGAAGGACTGGTGCTGAAGCTAAAGCTCCAGTACTTTGGCCACCTGATGGGAAGAGCTGACTCACTGGAAAAGACCCTGATGCTGGGAAAGATTGAAGGTAGGAGGAGAAGGGGACGACAGAGGATGAGATGGTTGGATGGCATCACAGACTTGATGGACATGACTTTGAGCCAGCTTCAGAAGTTGGTGATGGACAGGGAGGCCTGGTGTGTTGCAGTCTGTGGGGTTGCAAAGAGTCAGACACAACTGAGCTGAACTGAACACCTACAAATGATTACAGTGGTAAATTATGTGTCACGTATATTTGAATACAACTTAAAAAATTTAACTATGGGGAAAAATACCACCAGGAAACAGAAGGACCTTATATGCCTTCATGTTTGGGAGAGGGATGGCAGCTTTTCTTCAAACAAAGCCTTTGGAATCTAGAAAATCAGTTTGAAATCAGGAGTGGAACTTGCTTTCCTAAAAACTCCAAGTACTGCCTGTCAGCCTCACTAGGAAGCCGGCCACGTGGGAGGTGGGTGGTGCCGGCGCGGAGGGGACTCACCCGCAAACGTGGGTCGGTTGTCCGGGTTCACCTCCCAGCACTGCCTCATGATGTCGATGACCTCCCGCGGGCAGAACTCTATGATGTCCTCCACGTCCGGCCTGTTCCCAGACTTGATGCACAGTATCAGCTGCTGCTCACAGATGGCATCTACAGAGCAAATGGGAAGGAGAGCTGAGACTTTCAGGTCCTGCTCCTCTCGGGCAGGGAGGTGACAGAACCTGGACCAAGCCACTGATCTCTCATGGTTACATCAGGGAGGGGCAGAATGCCCTGGGACGATGAGCGGACCTATTTCTCTGCAGAGATGATCAAACAGGTGAAAGACAGATTCATGGCAGAGCTGACTCCTGTCAAACGACTGAATGTGTAAATAAAGCCAGTGCCACACTCCAGATTTTAATACAGAGACAAACAGGGGACAGCTCAGTTGAATAAGGGTGACTTAAAATACAGAGTGATACTGGCTATTCAAGAAGTAAGCACAAAGGGTTCTGGCGACAGGACCACTACTGGAAGGTCAGAGAAGGCTTTGTTGAGTCCAAAAGAATAAACAGGAGTTATCCAGGTAAAGAACTGGGAAGAAGGATTCACAGAGGAAGATTTCAGGCCAAGAAAGCAGGATCTGAATAGATTGGGAGTTGCAGAAATCAAGATGTGTCTGGAAATTATGACTAGCTCAGCGTAACTGGGCATGTTGGCCAAAGCGAGTGAGGGAACAGTTTAGCCAAATCAGAGAGGACCCTGTGCTCCATACTGAGGGGTTTAACTTGATCCTGAATGTCAAGAGTGTCTTGGAAGGATTTTAAACAGAAGATTGAGAGGTTTGATCGGCCTGTTTGACGGCAGTGTGAACGGCGGCGGCACGAGGAGCCTGCCACAGAGGGTTTGAATGGACAGGATCCTCTGGAGACAGAGAGACACGGATGTATCTTGAATCTGATATACGTGGAGGTCACAGTTTTTTGTTTGTTTCCGGCCATGCTGTGCAGCTTGCAGGATCTTAGTTCCCTGACCAGGGACTGAATCCCAGCCCTCGGCAATGGAAGTGCAAGTTCCAACCACTGGACGGTCAGGGACTCCCAAATTCACAAGTTTCAGTGTCTGATGGGATATGGGAGGGCAAGGCTGAGTCTGGCGACTGAGGTTCTTGGTTGGGCAACTTGGTTGGTGGACGGTGACACCATTTTCTGGACCTAAGAGCAGAGCTGAGTGAGCCACTCGGGCAGCGTGGAGAACGTGGGTTTGTTTTGGGGGATACTGCTTTGGGGTCCTCTGGTACGTGGACGCGATCTAACAAACAGGAGGATGTCCAGGCCACCACTGGAAGTTTGAGTGGCATCAGCAAAGAGGGGACTGAACCCTGGGAGCTGACAATCACCCAGGAAGAGCAGGCAGGAGGAGGGCCATTAGTTCAGGTTCTTAACACACTGACCTAGAGAAGGAAATGGCAACCCACTCCAGTACTCTTGCCTGGAAAACCCCATGGACGGAGGAGCCTGGCAGGCTACAGTCCATGGGGTCGCAAAGAGTTGGACACGACTGAGCGGCTTCACTTTAACACACTGAAGAACAGCTACTTATGCACCTGTTCCCCTGCACAGACGCTGTCCCTCTCATCTTTACAGACTCAGTCTGAGTAGAGAGCCCACAGTAAGTACTGAAAAGAAACAATTCCTGAACGAAGGAGTGAGTGGATGGATGAAAGTACGGAGTGTATGCCCTGAAAGTCCTCATAATGAGAACCAAGCAAGCCTTCCTGTCCGGGAGGAAGCCTAGATTGTTGAGCACCCCACAAGCTGAGATGCACTATCCAAGCTCCGATCTGTCCTATGACCCCTGCTTGCTAAATCGAGATTATGTATCCATTCCACAAACACTTGCCGAGTACCCACTACGTTGTGTGTGTAGATACCGGGGGAAGAGCAGTGAATGGATGAGATGTGGTCCCGGCCTCCGTGGAGCTCAGTCTGGTGGGTGAGACAGACATTGAACAAACAGTGATAAACCTCCACGACCTCACTGCAGGCTGTTACCCCACTGAACAATCCCCGTCGGCCCCCAGCCCCCCTCTTCTATTGATGCCTTACTCTCGTATGGCTCCTTGTTGGCGAAGATGGCCCAGAGCACGATGGCGAAGCTGAAGACGTCGGACTTCTCGGAGGGCCTGGAGTTGACGTCGTTCAGGTGCTCGGGGGCCATGTAGTGCAGCGTGCCGCCCTTCCCGGCACCGCCGCCCGCCTGCCTCTGCTCGTTGCGCTCCTCCTTCGTCAGCTTGCTCCACGTCTTGAAGGAAGCAACGCCGAGGTCAGCTATCTGCAGGAGAGTGAGGCAATGGGATGCTTCTGTGATGGCAGCAGGCAAATCAGATCTGTCTTTACATCGGGGGCTTATCCAGGAGATGAAGGGACTCTAACATTGGCAGAAACGGCTGCACCAGACAGGTTTAAAACAGCTACCTCTGAACAGACTAGTAGAAACCATATGTCCTCAGCCATCTGGAAGATCTCGCATAAGAAAAGTCTGTGTGAAATTCTGGTATCTCGATTCTTATGCAATATCAGGGTTGGGGGGGTGGTGGTTGATGGGGAGAAAAGCAGAAGATATTCCTGAGAAGAACAACTAGACATGTTTATTCTAACTCCTCATTTATTCTGCATGTTTTTGACTGTTTGAGGCTAGGGAAAACAGGTACTCCTTGTCAGCAGGTTTGTATAGCACATGGTACTGCACCTTCCATTTCCCCAAAAGGTGTCCAGAAGCCCACGGATGTGCATTTCCAAGGATCCCAAAGACACACTGAGGATAAAGACTGTAGCGCTACTGCTGCTGAGGTGGGAGCCTGAACCTGAGAGGAGATGGGATGTGGAGGACGGGAAAGACAGACAAAAAGGCAAAGAAAAAAATACCCAGGTCAGACACAGAACACAGAGGGAGGCGGCAGGGCAGAACAACAGAACAAATACAGTTAAGACACCAGAAGTGGCAGTTTCACTTTTGCTTCAGGGAATCCAAGCATTTGGGGATGATTTCTGGCATGTGATTGTCTAAAATCCTCAAATTCTAACCCACATCATAAGAGGTAAGTTATTAACGTAAAGAATCTTCTTTTAAAGACACAGGGGAAAAAAAAACCCAAAAAAACAAACCCTGTCCAGGGCTGGAACAGAGTGCTAGAAGCAGAATCTTCTGGTAAAGGGATGCCTGGGTAAGCAGTTCCTGCGTCCTCCCCCCAGTTCCACTTCCCCTTTCAGACCCTCGTGCTCGGCTGGGATTCCTGCTGCCAAAGCCGACCCGATGTAATGCTGCGCCTAGAGGACAAAAGAAAACCCTCCCTCTTTTTCCTTTGACTACAGTGGACAGAGTTTTCAAAAGGAAACGGATTTTTAAAAGGACACGTCAGTAAAGGAATAAATGAAGATAACCGCCTCCGCCAAGTCTCTCTCTCTCCATTCCCTGGCAGAGCTCTCTGGCATCACCGTCACCAGGGAGGAGTTGGGCTGGCTCTGCTCTTGGCACACATCGTGTCCAGAAGAAGGGCTTACACTGAGAGTCAGAGTCGCGCCGATCCCCCAGAAGCCCTGCCTGAGGTTTACCTTGATGTGGAAGTCACTGTCAACGAGGATATTTTCTGGCTTGAGGTCCTTGTGAATCACCCCTTCTCCGTGTAAGTAGCGCATCCCTTCGATGGTCTCCATAATGATTCTCCCTTTCACGGACAGGGGGATGCTGATCTGAAACGAGTGACAGTCAGTGCGGGAGACAGAAAGGGACTCAAAGCGGCCAAAGTACCAGTTTCCTTCAAGAGCAGTGGATCTGGACCTGAGGACGTAGACAGCAGCTTCCCTTCCGTCAGGCCCCGAAGATGCATCTCGACCACCTTGCAGGCTGAGAGCGCCTCCCCGGTGTTCCCACAGCTTGCTGTGGGCGTGTCTGTCAACACACCACCACACCGGACATTCACATCCCCACCTGCGCCGCGTATCCGTCTGTGTCACACTTGCTATTGCTTCCTGAGTAAACAGCACAGGCCTTGCTCTTAACAGATACATACACTCGTTTTTTTGACCACCCCACAGGGCAGGCAGGGATCTTAGTTCCCCGACCGGGGATCAAACCCGTGCCCCCGGGAAGTGGAAGCAGGGAGTCTCAACCACTGGACCACCGGGAAAGTCCAGGTACCTACACTTTTAAAAAACGCGTTAAAGTTATTTGGCTTTGGTAAACAGGATGAATCTTGCTGTTGGAAACCTTCCTCATCCAGTGTTGTTATTCCTGAGAAAACCCAAACCACCAGCCACTCACACAGGACTCCGAGGCACAGGGGCTGGCGGGCCGGGCGAGGCGTACCTGGGCCTTGAGCACACGCATGAGGTCGCCCTGCTCCATGTACTCCATCACCAGCGAGTAGCTGCCCTCCTCCATGATAACGCCCAGCAGCTTGACCACGCGGCGGTGCCGCAGCCGGTGCATCATCCTGCCCTCCTCCAGGAGGGCCTCGTTGTACCTGGGGACGGGGGCGGTGGTCAGACCGAGCGTCCCCGGGGCTGCCCCTCCACCCTGTCCGTGTGCCTCCTTCCGGGGGACCGCGGCCAGTGCGCAGGAAGCGTGAACCCAAGGACCAATCAATGCGAAGCTGGTGAAGAGCAGCGAGGAAAGGCGGCCAGGAAACGAGGACCGCGCTGGACAGTGGACTAAACCCGCGGCCTCTCTCACAGCCACTCTGGCGAGAACAGAGGGAAATAAACCACTTCACTCACTGCCTCAGAGAGAGGGTTCCTGGACGCTGTGGCTCATGAACCAGGGCTTCGTCCCCATCCTGGGGGCTGGTCCTCACCCACCGTGGAGCAGGGCCTTCCCTCCCTCCTGCCTGCTCCTCCCATCCTCTTCCCAGCGCCCCCTGCGTCGCCCTGGGCCTCCTCCCCTCTGTTCCCTCCTCTTCAGTTTTCTTGTTCTTTACCAGCTCGGAGCTCTCCCCTAGCCAGCGTCTGAATCCTCATGAGTCAGGGATGTCAGTGACCGCCCTGCAGGGTCATCCGACATGAAGCCTCAGGGCTGACCCTTGCACCCAGGTCTGTCTCATAAAGGCTGTGCCACCCGATTCCACCGCCCTGGCACATCGCGTGGTCTGCCCAACTCTGCCCCTGACTCACTCGGTGCGCTTGGGGCCCGTGTACACCTTCTTCAGGATCACGAGTCCGTGGGATCTGTGTAGACACAGACACACCTTCCCGAAGCCCCCACTGTCCAGGTCTGCCTGCTCCAGGAAGTCCGTAGAACTCATCTTAATGTCGTCCAAGGACATGGCTGCTTTCCTTCTGAAGGGTCAGAATGCCCCGGAAACACACAATCCTGTGAAGAAAAGAGTCAGTACAGTCAGTACAGACAAGTCGCCACTCAAACGGTGTATATAATTCTCCGCCACGCGCTTGGTGTGCCTTTATTTTTTGAAGACAGATTTATAGTCTCTAAGATGAATGTTTTTCGTATCTCCAGGAATCACATAGGAGCACAATCTTTCTTCCTTAGACTTTCATTTCTACCAACATGGAAGACTAAGAAAATCTAAAAACTCCTCTTATAAAGGGCCTGTATATATTGGGTACAGTAATGCAAACATCCAATCACATGCACAGGTAGGCTCAGCAGAAAGGAAAAGGGCTCTAGGGACTGAAGGCGAGCAGGCCGTGGGCAGGGCCATGTGGTGGCTGCTGTGGACCCAGTGTGTGTGTCTCCCCAGATTCGTAGGCTCAAGCCCAAATTCCAGTGTGATGGAGGATGTGGGGCTGGGCGGTGATTGGGGCTGTGAAGGCAGCCTCATGAATGAGATCAGAGTCCTTATAACCGACCCGACAGAGCTTGCTTCCTGCCTCTGTCTCTCCACCCCGTGAAAGTACAAGAGGACGGCCAGCAGCTGCAAACCAGAAAGCGGGCTGGCACCAGACACTGGACCTGCTGGACTCCCAGCCTCCAGAACAGTGAGAAACCACTGTCTGCTATTTAAGCCACCCCATCTATGGGAATTTGTTACAGCGGCTGAACTGACCAAGACACTGGCCTGGCGGGGCACTGCCAACCTCGACATCCAAAGGTCAGGGTTTGAAACTCAGCCGGAGGCAGGAGCTGAGGTCGGGACATGCAAGAAGAGGGCTGGAACAAAGACTCCCCCCAACACTGCACTTCGCAGTGCGCCCTAAAGGGTGGACGAGAGAAAAAGCGACTCACCAGCAGGAGAACGTTTGTCTTAGACTGGGACTGGGGAATGAAAAAAAATTCTGTGTCAGTTCATAACCTTGGGACTGTCTTCTAATAGATTTGGGCTTTAAATTTATACTCCTCTTAGCTCTCATGGTCAAGATCCCCCAAATTAAGAACTTTTATATAGAAAGTGGTCACAGGCTGATGACATCTCTGGGTTATAAGAATAAAGAAAACAAAACACCTCCAAGCCAGACAAGAATCCCACAAATAAAGCCTAACTTAACATGAGCTCCCTTTACAAAATTATAAAACAAAAAAAGCAGACGAAAAAAGTTCACAATGAGTGAAGTCCCACAGGTATTACAAAAAGCTGTATTAGGCACCAAAGAAGTTCAGGTAATTAAACTAGTGAATAGCTTTAGAAATAAACAGGCTTAAAAGTAATTATGAACAACAACAAAAATAAATTTGAAGGCTACGAAAAGAACAATGCATGATCTAAAAAGGACAGGAAGATGTGGAAAGGGTGAGGATCTGGCCATGAAGTGTACAGTATATAGACTCTCAAACACAACTATTTGCTTCATCCTTCTCCCCTTCTTCTTTGGTTCATTTATTTTCCCCAGACTGAAACAGAGAATAAAAATCCCTGGGGTCCAACGTGTGACAGCACTGCACCCCTACCAGAGTGTCCAGAGTGAAAAAAGTTACCACCACATGCCAGGGAACAGTATTTCACACACTGGTGGTGGGAACACAAAATGGTACCAGCACTTGGAGAAAAGCTCCGGCAGTTTCTTATAAAACATGTACCTACACAATGACCAAGCAAGTCATCCTAAGTTGGGGACCATCTGTGTTCTTGGCTCCTTTGTAAGTTAATTGACCATATGTGTGGGTTTGTTTCTGGGCTCTATTCAGGTCCCTTGATCTACATGTGTGTGTCCATGCTGGCAGCATACTGTTTGGATTACTGGATTACTGTAGCTTTGTAAGACAGTTTGAAACTGGGAAGTGTGATATCTCCAGCTTTGTTTTCTCAAGATTGCTTTGATGACTTGGGGTCTTTTTAGGATTTTAGGATTATCTGTTCCATACAAATTTTAGGATTATCTGTTCAATTTCTGTGAAAAATGTCATCGGAATTTTTACAGGATCTGCACGCAAATCTGTAAAATGGAGTGTATAACAATATTAATGCTCCCTATTCTAACAGTCCATGAGAATGGACTATTTCCATTTATTTATATCTGCAATTTCTTTTCTTAATATCTGATAGTTTTCAGTTACATCTTTTACCTCTCTGGTTAACATAATTCCTAGGTATTTAATTCTTTTTGATGTAGTTATAAATGGAATTGTTTTCTTAATTTCTTTGATAGCACATTTTATTAGTATATAGAAATGCAAAATACTTTTGTATACTGATTTCCCTGGTGGCTTATATGGTAAAGAACTTGTCTGCAATGTGGGAAACCCAGGTTCAATCCCTGGGTCGGAAAGATCCCCTGGAGAAGGGAATGGCTACCCCTCCAGTATTCTTGCCCGGAGAATCCCATGGACAGAGGATCCTGGCCCATGGGGTTGCAAAGAGACAGATACGACTAAGCGACTAACATTTACTTATTTAGTGACTTTGTATCCTACAACATTGCTGAAACTGTTCATTAGTTCTAACAGTTTTTTGATGGAGTGTTTTAGAGTTTTCTATGTATCTCACATGATCTGCAAACAGTGACAGCTTTATTTCTTCCTTTCCCATTCACATGCCTTTTCTTGCCTAATGGATCTGGCTAGAACTTCTAATACTATGTTGAATAAAACTGCCAAGAGTGGGCACCTTGTCTTGTTCCTGATTTGTTTGGCAGTACCACACATGTGGTTTGTGGGATCTTAGTTCCTGGACCAGGGATTCTACTCAGGCCCTCAACAGTGGGAGCAGAGTCCTAACCACTGGGCCACCAAGGAATTCCCCTTTCATTCCTGATCTTAAGATGCTTTCAGTTTTTCTTTGTTGAGCATGATGTTAGCTGCGGGTGTTAAAACCTAACTTGGCACTTTGAAATTTTTAATAAAATGTTGGAACGGGAAGCTTTTTTTTTAAAGTGGCTGAAGGGGTTTCTGAAAATGCCCAGGCTGAGGGCAGTCCTGTCAGTGGCCTGCTGCAGTCTGGCTCAGGTAACCAGCCTTCTACATCCCGCACAAAGTCTTCTGTGGGCCCTGCCACTCCAACAAAGCTCACGTATCAGCACAGCAGATGACACTCGGAGCCGTTTTCCCGTAACAGGAGGCATTCCCAAGTAAGAGGAAGTACCCTCTGGAAAGCAGCATGTCTTCGGGGCAGAGACAAGGGTTGCGGGGAGGCTGCCCAGCAAGGGCGTGACCACGGCGGGGGCGGGGAGGCAGGGCCCGAAGGCGAGGTGCGAGAGCTGGCCCAACGGTGAAGACAGCGCAGGCTTTTCTCCCGGATCAACCCTACCTCTAATTTATCAGTCCTTGGGTAACTTACACAAGCCCCGATTTCCTCAATAATGACTGCCTCACAGACTGGTAAGAAGTATATGAGAAGAAACGTGAACACACACACTGGCCGCCTGCTTTGTGGTTCTGGCTATGACTGGCCCACCCATCTACCCCTACTCGTCATGTTCACACGGTTTCCCGGGCTGTGAGAATGGGGGTGTGCAGCTGGGATCCACTCTTCTCAGCAGCTCTCTATGGCCCAGTCCTTGTGCAACAGGGTGGGGGTGTCCACTGACCCCTACAAGCTTTTGAGGGCACATTCTTCTCCTGGCTAAAAGCTGCTTCTCCTTCAGTTCTCAGAAACATCATTTCCTCAGAGAAGCATCCTATGTCTTCCCATTAGACATTTTCACAGTGCCCAGTACTTTGAAACAGACAGCTATAATTTGGGAGTTATTTCAATTAAGCTCACAGAAGGCAGGAAACTGTCTTATGCACTATCTACAGTGCCCAGCACATAACCTGGCATAAGGCAGTTGGTCATTAAATGCATAATTTTTTTTTAAAAAAGAGAACTATTTAATCATCCAAAAATAAAGTTAAATGAATTATAGCACATTCACAAAATGTAGTATTATATAGTCAATACATTAACAGGTAGATGGCTAGGTACACATATAGCTATATGTACAGGAAAAAAAGACACCTAAATGTTAGCAAGGATATCTGGATGGTCAGGTGACTTTTATTTCTTCTTTACACATTTATTACATTTTCCAATTTTTATACAAATTACCTTTATAATAAAATTTCCTCTTTAAAAGGGAGTTAAGTTCCTCCCTCAGTAATTCTTTATCCTAAGGAATCAAATCAGAGACACTGATACAGATTATGTACAAGGATATTCCCAGGAACATTAGATAGAACAGCAAAAGCACATAATACAACTGATGTATACATAACATGGGAGAGTAAGTTATGCCTCATTCACATTATGAAAGTCATCTAGCAGTTTTCAAAAATGATGTCATGTGTGAATGTTTAGTGGGCTTCCCCAGTAGCTCAGCTGGTAAAGAATCTGCCTGCAATGCAGGAGACCCTGGTTCAATTCCTGGGTCAGGAAGTTCCCCTGGAGAAGGGACAGGCTACCCACTCCAGTATTCTTAGGCTTTCCTGGTGACTTAGCTGGTAAAAAAAATCTGCCTGCCATGTTTTTTATTGCCCCCCCCCACCGTTTCCCCATGAATGAGTCAACTCTATAAGCGGTGAATATCTTAGGAGGGACTGATGAGTGGCTTAGATACCCAGGAGTCACAGAAACTCTGAAAGTAGGCAAGCAGAAAGTCACACTGTAAAGTCACGTTACAGAGTAATTAATGAACACACACTAACCTGTCATATCATCTTATGATCAAGTACTTTCAACAGAGAATATAACGGTCAAATTTAATGGATTTTCAAAATATTTTTTGCATAAGTGTACTTAATTCAGGGATTTAAGGAAAGAAATCTCCACTGAAATTAACTGAAAATTTCAAGAACTTCACAATTAAGTCTATATATAAAAATATTCATATCTACATTCAATTTTGTCAACTATACTTCAGTAAAACTGCGGGAAAATACAAATTACTATAACATCAAAAAGCCAGGCAAAATTAATCTGTAATATTAACAGTCAGGGTAGTAGTTAAAACAAGGTGGAAGCAGGAGGCAGGGAAGGGGAGGAAGTGCGGGGGAGAGATGGCAACGCTTGTTTCTTCTTAATGTTCACTTTAGGACACTTAAGAGAGTCAAACAGTTAGGATGTATGTTCTTTTCTGTGTACTGCAATAAATAATTTTTTTTAAGTTAAAAAAATTTCGTATTTACCTTTGAAGTGGTTGACAGCGATTTTTTCAATTTTTCAGTGAGGACCATACTTGATGAGACTGACAGAAAATACTGGCTACCCAACTATCATGCCCCCCTTTTCCTCTGCAGATGGAACTCTGTTTTTACTCAGGCATCCAATGGGAATCTCTCCAGGTTCTTTGATTTTAACTGCTTGATGCTTTGCCTCAGATAAACAAGAGCTCTGAGCAAGAAAGAAGACTGCAAGAGTTCAACCCAGTGTTACCCTGCACATGATGACCCTCTGAAGTACCAACTTATTAATACATCGGCTCCAAGTTACAAATTAAGAAACTAAAATTTGGAGTTTAATGATTCACCTAGAGTAACAGATCCCAGAATTGAGCCTTAATGTCTTCACTCAAATTTCCACTTTCACTAACACATGCTACTTCTCCAGAGAGCAAACAATAATTTATCTTCGTTAAAATCAGATGCAAAGACCTAATCTTACGATTCTGCTCACCTATACTAAATAAGTATGCTACAGTCAGAAACATAGGGCAAGTACAGACTAAATTTTAAAAACATATTAAAACATGTGGTTCAAAATCAATATTCTACAGGTTAACATGATCATTTTTGCCAAAGTATAACATCCAACCAAAGCATGGGAAGCTGTGCTTTTTCAAATTCCCAGATCATACTGGTGGTATTACCACGTTGTTGATTAATAAGCATCCAAGAAAAAAATTTCAATTTTGGAAACTGCTACTTAGGGATTTTTCTTTATTCTCGTGAATATTCACAATCCTGAAAGTGCAATATATCTGTGGTGCTCAATACAGCTCAGTGAGAGAAACATGCAAATTACAATTAATCGTTATAGCTGTTTTATCAGTAATAATACAATGATGAGATACCTCAATGTTTTAAACAAGCTTCCTCTTTACCTTTTGTGTTTAGAAGGGTGCAGTTTCCCAAATTTATAATTGACTACAATTTCCTCCCCACTCTCGCACCTACGTACCTGATGGTCACAAAATGCAGATCACGTAAGAAGTCTCGCCTGCCTTGATTTCTTCATGTGTGAATGCAGGGAGAAGTAATAGCGGTCCTACTGCAAAGCCGGGTGAGTGTAACGGGCCTCGGGCTTTGTCCAGGACACACAAGAGCTCCGAGCAAGGAAGAGCCGAGGGAACAGCGAAAGACAAAGAAATGAACAGCCAACCCCGCCTCTGTGGGAGGCTGTCCAGTGTGAGGAAAAAGGGTGGTGCTGACCCTCTTCAAAACTCTGAAGAGGCTACCAGAGCGTGTGTGCGCTCAGTCACTTCGTAAAAGCACGCGCCACCGGGTGACGACGCCCTCCCCGCCGTGCCCGTCGACCCTTCTTTCCCAGCTCTCGTCGAAGACGGCGCAGGAAGGCGTCTGACGGCGTCGCGAGAAGCGGCGGCCCCGTCGCCCCCGTCAGAGGCCCTGCCCCAGGGCGGGCGCTGAGGCCTGGCCCCAGGGCGCCCGCGTGACCCGGGGCGGCGAGAGCTCGTAACGACATCGCAGGGAAGACCCGCCACCTCCCCCGACACCACAGCGCAGACCACGTGACGGGCCATCTCCACGTCACGCAATTATCGCGCCGGAGCCAAATCTCCGCCCGGTCCCGCCAGACCCAAACTCCCGGCGAGACGAGACCACGCCGGGACCGCAGACGGTGGGCAGTTGGGAGCCCGACTTCCGGGAACTCGCGGGCCACGCCCACCACTCTACCGGCTCACCATCTGACTTCCGGGAACTCAAGGGCCACGCCCACCACCCTACAGGCCCACCGCGGGCCACGCCCACCACTCTACCGGCTCACCGTCTGACCTCCAGGAACACCGCGGACACGCCCACCGGCCGAACTCCCGGAGCCGCGTCGCCCGCCCTCCACCCAACGGAAGCAGGAGCCCCGCCCCCTGCCGGAAGCCAGCCCGAGAGACTGGTCCGGGCCCGACGGTCCCGCGCTGACGCACCGAGAGATTTGCTTTCGCTTCCGCGGGAGACTTCCTGAGGCCCCAGGCCGGGTGAGGACGGAGGCG